CGCGTGCGGCTTTTTCCGCATGTAAAACTTTATTTATTTGTTTACATTTGTCAAATCTTAATTCTTACTACTGTTACTAATATAACCTTGCTTCCTTAATGTTGGCAGCTTGTAGTTTACGATCCCTTTCCCACATGAAGTCTTTTTCCAATTTATTTGCCCTGTATTTGCATGAAAACATATAGGCTAAAGTGTGTCGTAAGTGTAAGGCTTTTTATTAAAGAAAGAATTATTCAAAAATATGCTGTGATTGTTTACATCCTACGCCATAAAGTGATTATAGATGACTTTGCATCATCATGCATTTAATGGTTAAGGCATGAATGCTAAAAATAGAATGCAGTATTACGTTGTATGACTCACTTGTCAAAGTGTGAGGTGTAGCCGAGCGTGGGCGTGGCGAGCAGCCTGTCGTAGATGCCGGTCACGTTGAGCGCGGTGCCGTTCTCCGCCTCCCACTTTATGTACGACTCCCACAGACGATCCGAACGAAACTCTAACCCGCACGCCTCTGAAATTATAATAAACTATCAATTTGGGTATACAAAAATATTTAATAAAATGATAGGAATAAAAGAAAACGTTTATCTTACCTATAGCTCGTTCGTACTGCGATCTAACAAAGGGAATATCTTCACTTCTAGTTGTTTTAATATGATTGAGGAAATGTATCCAAAGGTCGACAGATAAGGGTATCGCTTTGAGACCTCTTTCCAAAACCTGCAACATAGGGACATGAGCGCGGCGGCCGCGGGGCTCGGGGCGCCGCCGCCGCCCGACGGCCGCGCTATGCAAGCAAGGGAATAATATAGCATTATATGACTGTTATAATTTGGAAATGATGAAGTGAGTCGTTGGAGTGGAGTCGCAACGTCTCACCTGCATTCAATGTATATAAAATGTTTGTCGGTCATATTACACCTGTGTCCGGCGCGCCGCCCGCCGCCGCCGCCGGCCGCCATCGCTAACTCAAGCGCTAAAACCTGTGTCGCTCCATGCCTAACATGGATTAGTCATTATTTGCTTAAGTATCTCCAATGTATCAACATCAAATTAAGTAATGTACAAATATATCAATATCACAATACATCATAAACTTATAAAGTAAAATACAAATTTTACACCACAAACAATAATACACTAGACCGAAATCTACGCGACGGTTATACAACTGTCCGATGCGAACCGATGGCTTTGGCATATCAACGTGGCGGCCTCGTTGCACTGTTGGGAAAAAAAATAATTGCACAATACCGGTTAAAACTAAAACAATCGTAAAATCCAACTGTTATTTCAACACAATCAAGTGAATTTCATTTTAATTATATCGCATGATCACTCACCGAGAGATATAACTTAAATCATTATGTGAACATAGCGTGGGGCTGCACTCACCTCGAGGCACTTCTTTTTACTTCCTTTACGTTTCTCGTAGTCCGCGTACTTCCTCCAGTAGCCGTAGCAGTAGGGGTAGTGCGACAGGAAGGCGTCGTACGCCTCGCGCGCCGCCTCCACGTCGCTCTGACACATTGCACAACACAAGCATTTCATACACACACACACACACTGCTTCAACACACAACTAAATACAACGTTCAGTTGGCCCTTGCAAATCCACATTGTGTATTCAGTTCTTATCGCTTCACAAAGCAATAAGATTAGCGTGATTTTTCATCATATCGAATCTATTAAACTGTTAAACAGCACAATTCAAACATTAACAGAGCTAATTAAAAAACCTAAAATGTATGGCACTGAGAAAGACATTTAAAAATTATATAGACTAGACCTAGTGAACAACCATTTTTATAGGCAACTTCTTTGAAAGGTACTATATTGTCAAGTTTAGTGCACAACCTCAAGTCGTTGTAGTGACATGTGATAAAACATTTTACAAAATCATAATAAGCTCCATCTTTTTCCATATATCAAATCATATAAATATTATAAATGCGAAAGTTACGATGAATGGATGGATGTTTGTTAGCATTTGTAGCCTAAACGGCTGAATCTCCATGAAATTTGGCAAAGGTTTAGAGCATAGTCTGGAAGAACACATAGGGACTACTTTTTATCCCGGGAATAGTTAAGGTTCCCGTGTGATTCATTAATTTATTTTTTTAATGTTAACCCAATCATTCTGCAACGGTTCAATATATCTTATTGAAATTTGGCACAGATATAAAACAAAGTCTGGAGTACACATGGGATAAGTTTCATCCCCGAGAAATGTCCGGTTCCCGAGGGAAACGTAGCTTTTTGTTATTTATATAGTTCGTATGTTTTCTAATACCACGCGGACAAAGTCGCGGGCAACAGCTAGTTATAAAATACACCAAAACAGAGTCATCTATGCTTCCTCTATATATAATTTGAATCTCTTTGGGAACTGACTTAAACATTTGATAAAACATATTCTTGTCTCATATTCCTACATTTTTGACACTTTTTGTTATGTATTTAAAATAACTCACCTCTTGATCTACATATTGTAACAAATATGTCCACCCGGTAAAGTCAGTAGGGTCATCGTTGACAACTTTCCAGTACTTGTCTAGTTCAGGAAGAGGTTTCTTTTTAGGTTTTTCATCAATAGATGATCTTTTCTCAGCAGGTATTGGTTTACTTTCACCATTCTGAAGACAAATTATCAAAATTGTACATCACATTGTAGAAATTTAAATACAGTAGAACCTTGATAAGTTAAAGTCCAAGGGAAACACAAAATATTTTAAGTTATAGAGGTTTTAAGTTATCAAGGGTCTATGTTAGAGGGTTTGGGCTCTGATGGGAGGAGAACATAATATTTTTTGAAGTAATAGAGGTTTTTATGTTACCGAGGTTTGAGTTATCGAGGTTCTACTGTACAAAACTATCAGTGTGTTTTAACATGTATGTGCAAACAAGCAACTCTTAACAGAAGGTTCCCGTATATGTTTTGCCATTTACAGCAAAGGTGCACTCATTTTATGAAAAGTATTGCTTTTTGCACTTACTGTGCAATTTGATTGAAACTTTCTTAAATTAAAACTTAATATGTGTGAATACCAATTATTTTTTTTTATTGTTTTAATTCTAAAAGTTTTACAAGTAAAAAGTGAATGTGACAATTTGACTTGAAGAAATCAATGTAAATACTTTAAAATGTAACTAACCTTAGCAACAGCCTGCTTCTTATTAGATGATTCACCTTCAGACGTAGGTGATCCTGGATCATAACCATCTCTCTCTTCATCAGGTTTTCGTTTACGAGATTCTTTAGATTCTTTTTTAGATGATGGTAATTCATCTTCTGATACAACCTGAAAAAAAATTATAAACATCTCTTACCATAGTTAATAAAATCTACTGTATATAAACATATGTAAATCAGATGTGAACTGTCTCAATATTTAAGGTCACACAAGGTCAAACCGTTAAGCGAAGGCTCAACATCTAAATTACAAGTTCATAGCTCAATGTACTACATGAGCTGAGTCATAATTCAGCTGGAAAGCACAAATAATAACTCAATATAGGTACAAATTGAGCCGATATATGTTTCAACAATCTGCGTCACACATATGTGATGCATATGTGACAAATGTAACATTGGAAATGGTTATCTTGTTTTGTAATTTATTGTTTAGTGTTATTTACAATATCCATCTTGAGAAGTTGTTTCATTATCATATATGTGCAAACAGTGCATATGTTTTGTAAGAACTTGTATGTATAGTTTGTCATTTGTTACAGCTGACCTTTTAGACATCTATAACTAGGTTTTTTACGTTTTATTTACTTTCAACTAAAGATACTAATAAGATAACTAGTCTAGTTATCTAGCCTAGTATTAAAGCTTTATTAGTATTGTCTACAGACCTATATTCAAGATTTTTTTATAAAAATCATTCCCCTAGAATGTTTCGCAGTTACACGCTTTCGCCCGCGATTTTGTCCGCATAGAATTACAAAAAAACAAAAGCGAGTAACTTATGTGTGCTTTAGTAAGGCTACAAGCTCTAACAAACATCCATTCATCTAAACTTTCGCATTAATAATATTAGTAAGATATAGGTAAAAAAAAAAATAATAAATCATTGACCTCAGTATCTGCGGGCAGGTCAGCAGGTTTAGGTCCCGGCAGTTCATCATCAGACACATTTTCTGCATCCTTTATACTTGGCTTCTGAACAGCGGGCAGTTCATCCTCTGATACCACTTCTGTCTCTTCAGCCCCACCAACATTTGCCTCTGCATTCAACTGAATTACAGGAAAAATCACCATTTCTCACTCAAATATATCTTATGTGATACATATTTTACATTAGTAATATATAACATATGATAGAGTTATTTGCAGGACAAAAACCTGTTGTGCTGACCCTATGGAGTAGAATAAGGGTGATAATAAATAAAAAAAATAAAAACCCTACAGGAATAGGATAAGGAGGATGATGATGTTATATTAGTAATAGTAGTACTGCTTAAAACTTTATTACTATCTTTTAATTATAATGAAGTGACGTTTCTATCTTTCCAAATTTACACAAAAATTTACATATTTACTATTTTAATAATTAAACTCATTAAATGCAGATATTTAAAAACTTACTTCAGTTTTATCTTCATCAGCTTTAGCATCAATTATGTCATTTTTATCATTCTTCAGTGTGTCCGTTGTATCCTGTTTTAAATCCAATTTTTGTTCTTCTGCTAAATTTTTATTTATTCCTTCAGTTATCTAAAATAATATTGTAGGTTATTAGCAGGTCAAAATCCCACCAAAAAGTGCATTTTGAGAGGACATTCCAGACAGTAGGCTAGATGTAAATTTATAAGATTTAGGACTACCTACATAATTTTATTATTTTCCACTTATTTTTATTAGATTAACTCTAAGTGAATGATGTAATATTTACAATTTTTTTCATTGTTAGAAAGGAGATTTTCAATACAGTATATTTAGTTTCCATTGCAATATAGTATGATCCTACATTGATACTACATTTTTTGAAGTTAAGCATATGTCTTTCACTTAGTCTGTAATAGACACATAGATAGACATTAATAAAAATATTAAATCACCTTATCTTTATCACAAGAAATGTCTTCTGAAGCTTCATTTATTTCATTGCTCAATTTACGAGGCTTGGAATTAATATCAGTGTCGGTTTCCTCTAATTTTGCGTCTTCTACAATCTTAGATCGATACGCCATAATAATTTTTTTGGTGAGATCCGCTGAATTTTCATCTGCATTGTCGGATCCCACTTCGACCTTCTCGTCTTTACTATCATCTATATCAGAAGTAACGGCTTTAAAACCTGGTTCACTTAAACGAGAATCCCCGTCGGTAAGAGCATTACTTGATTCATTAGAAAATTCGACAGCGTTATCGCCTACATCGAAATTGTCTGCGCTAAAACGACTGGCATTGTTTTCCAAATAATCTCCAACGCTACCCGCTGAGAGCTCAACCGCATTGAGAAATCCTTGATTTGATGTTGATGATTCGTCCACAACACCAGTATCGACGCTGTTAAATTCTCCTTCCGTTAAAAGATGCGACAATCCATTCGAATTTTCATTTATCAAAGGGCCTTCGTCGGTATCCATTGGGCTCTCTGATACACATTTCTAAAACACTTTTTCGGTTAAATTTTAAGTTCTGACAGTGAATTTTATATTTTAAATATAGGTTATATTTTTATTGACCATACCTGTACATCTGAACTAGCGTCATCATCCATGTTTAGGTTTAAATCTTACTATTCACAAACTCAGAAAACCAATGAATACAACAAGAAAAATGACTTGCAAAATATTAAAGACTAATGCAAAGAATGCTTACTGCAATATCCTAGTAAATGAAGGAAAATCGGTGGAATTAATAACAAAATATCCATTCAAGAAATACTTTGCTCAATCAAAGAGTAATTAACATATGTAAAACGTTGGCAACACCAGGCAGCCAACAGGTGAACAGTTGGCTATAGTCTACAGAACACAATCCAACACAAAGCCTTGTGGTGCAAAATCTGAAATGTTTTCTATTACAACTTTATTTGTAATAAGATAAGATGTTCCTTATTGTGCTTGCGCTACAAACTAATGATTATCGAAACTTATATTTCTTGCCAAATGTACACTCTAACAATACTTATTCTGTAACATAACCTTACTTTTTATTTATGTTTGTGTCAATGTCAAGTTAAGTAAAACTGTCAAAAGATAAATATTTTTGGTTATAATTTGAAAATGTACTATTTGTTATTATAAATTGGTTAATTCTGAATATAAGTTGCAATAGTAAAAGATGTTGGGAATACGCGCTATTTGCAACATAGCCACAACTTCAAAATCTTTGTTAATTAATCAAACTAGAGTAAGTGTAATTTATTTTTGGTTTTATAAAGTACATGTACATTGTGCTTAAAATAAGAATTAAAAGAAATCGTTTACTTTCCAGAATACTTTTATTTTACGGCGAAGATGGCCCCCATCTTTACACAAAAAACACGGAAAACCTTCTAAACTCCGAGGAAGGCACTTCGTTTATGATTTAGTAGAGGACACAGAAGTTGTAAAGAAACCGGATATGAAGATAATCTTAAATCAATTTGTCGAGGGTAAATCATAGTTAATCTTTTATTTTTCCATTTTACTTCATAAACTTCAACATCCTAAATCAACGAACATGTTTTGACAGATTGATGTTTTTTCAACACCTCAGACTAATACTGTGAAAAATCATTTTTAATACACAAACCCTAAATAGTATAATTAATAAACATATAACCTTTCTAGGTGTCGGAGAGTCTGGAGATGTTTTAACACTGAGTCCCGCAAAAGCTTACAAGAACTTCCTTGTGCCAGGCTTGGCAGTGTATGCTACTCCAGAGAACATAGCAAAGTATAAGGTTGATGAGAACAAGCCAAAAGTGAAAAGCAATTTCAGTTCACCATATGTACAAAGGGTACTTTGATTATTCACTATTAACTATTATTATATATAGATGCAATAACATAACTAAAAATGATGAGGTGTACTTCAGCTCAGGGTTTGTGTCATACATGTGCTTCACACAACCAGGTTAAAGAACTGGCTTGCGGATCATTTGAATTTGTACCTGTTTTGAGCCATAAGTTGCTAATTTAGCTGGTAGGCTGAAAGGAGTCAAAAGTAGCTAATAAACTATCACAAGCCTTTACATTATATCTATTTCACAAACATTGTTATTAATACTGTATACAACATGGATATTTAAATTAGCAGTTGCTAGCAACTTTGTCTGGGTAAATCGAAAAAAAAACATAGCCTATGTTATTGACAGATAAAGTACCTTTTTAATGTTGAAATAATTAAAAAAAATTTTGTGTGAATCTAATGTATACAAAAATACAAATCTTTCCTCTTTAAAATAATTAGTATAGATTGGAGTGTCTGTATGTAATATAAAAATCCACATTACACAAACATTATGTATTTGCATTGTTGATTAGGAATAATGACCGATTTTGAAGTGACTTTGTTGTGGAGATAGCTGATGTATGCAGGAATATTAAAAACAACCTTTTAATTCAGTGCTGATGAGATCGCAGATGATCAGTAATATAATCTAAACAATGTTTTCAGACTATGGGTTGTCTCTCACGCCTGTTACTACAGATATCTATGAGCAAAACTCAACCTTGGACACTCGAACCTTGGCATGTGCGTACATCTTTCCGCAAAGCTGGATTTGTTGTGCCTGAAGATACTATAACTTTGCCACCTGTCAAAATCTCCGGTCCTGATCTATCTTTGCAGGAAAAAGAATTTTATGTAACTGTTAAGGTAAAGCCAGAATTTTATTTAACAGTAAAGTTAAAACATACTTTTTTAAATGGATTATCCTTGTAGGTTTAAACTAAAACATGTAGGGTCGGAATACAAATGTCAGTTCCTATCACATTTACTCACTAAACTGGTATCTGGCATCAGCCAGTTATTATACCGATTTACTGGTTTGTGTATTCCCCCCCTTGCTTATTTTTATGCTTCCATTTTCATGTGTTGTATGGTTTTTTGCAATACATACTAAACATTTCATAACAACACTTAATATTTTATATGCAATAAAAAATATATTTTAGATTAATAACAAGGAAGAAGTCAACGTGAGGTGCAGGATCCATCACTGGGCGACAGGACTTGAAAAACTCCCATGGGTGGAGTTCCACTGGAAAAAACCTTGTGATCCACTTATCCCAGAACAAGCAGCTGAGTTAGCGAAAATACCCTTAGTTTGAATAACTTAAAATTATATTAACTGCTAGTCTAGTAAAGAAATACCTATCAATTTTCTTTTTCATAATAGAAAAATAAATGGCAGCAAACAGCGAGCCCGTAAACGAAACAGTTGTTTTTATTGAAAATGAAACGCCCCAACAGCTGTGCTAATTGGTTTAAAAAATTAACACTCCTCCGTACTTTGATTATTTTAAAGGTAGATAACTCATCATTTTTGGTTTTAATGTTTTTTTAGGAAGAGGTTAAAGTAAATTAATTTAATTAACAATTATTTGAATTTAATCACCTTTGAATCAAATCATAGTTTCGATAATTCAATACAAACTTTACTATTAAATTCTCAAAACATTAACCAAAGGCATTAATATAAAACATTAGATTATCAAAAGAAAAAGAAAATTATCAAATTATGTTCGCTACCGAATGTGGTGCTATCTGTACCGAACAGTTATTAAAGGAAATTTAACAAAATTCTCCTCACCATATTTAACTAACCGGTCTCTGCGCCGGATTTTCATCAACTGTATTGCCCTCGCCCTCTGGTATCTTGGCTTCATTAGTGAGGTGAATGTTATCGTCCTCTGGCTCAGGAGGTGCAATATTATAATTCTGTTCAGCATCCAATTCTCTTTCCACTTCCATGATGACATTATTGTCCGGTACCTCAAATTGCACTTGCTCAAGTGTTTGTGGCTGCGTGTCGCTCACTTCGCCTTCGTAGTTATCGTAATTTTCCTCAATTATTTGATTTCGATCTTCATAATTAGCATATTGAGCCTCGTAATGAGGATCATACTGCTCAGTTGTCTCTTCATGAAGATTTATGTCACCGGAATATACTTGTTGTTCTGCAGTTCCTTCGAAATAAGCGTAGCTTTCGTCACGTGCATAACCTTCGGGATTTTCGTAATCATCAATTACGGCACTGCCTGTTTGATTATATGCGTACTCAATATCATTCGGATCTGAATTAAACATCTCCGATTGCTCTGCCTCAAATTCGTTAATTTGAGCGTCGTGTCCAGTGTCATCGAAGTCTTTAATATAAGCTATTGTAGGTACTTCTTTATTTTCTGGCTCTATTTGGTTTTCCACAATTTGATCTTTAATGTTATCTTCCACTTGTTCTATATTTGGTACAATTAAGTTGATATTTTCAACCGGTAAAGGTTCATTTACACTTGAAGGTAGCAATTTCTCTTGCGAATTCAAGTCATTGGATTTAATGTTATTTTGTACGTTTTCTTCATCATGTTGATAGTTTTTAGATTGTGAAGTTTCCTCGAGATTCTGATTTTCGATATTAATATTCGAATATTGCACTTTTTCTAATTGAACATCTTCTTCTTTTGGTTTTATTTCGATTTCGTATTCAGCTTGAATTATTTCCTTCTGTGTTAAATCATTAGTGGAATCTCCAACATGTGGTTCATTGGCGTTATCGATACTTACATATACGTTTTCGTCTTTTGTTGGATTTGTTGGTATTGTTTGAGGGGTTATAGGTTGCTTTCCACTGTCTGTGTTTTCTGAAAGATTTTCTGTTTCACAATTCGAAATAGGTTCTTTAAAATCTTGGCTAAAATCTGCATCGTTAATAAAATTTTTTTCGATCTCTGGTTTTTCTTCAAGTTTGTCGGTTTCGGTATTAGAAATTACTTCATCATAATTAGTGATGGTTTCTATATTATCTCGATTATTTTCGGGTGGGTTTTTGTTATTTGATAAAAGATACGTAGTTTGAAGATTTGGCTCTTCAATTTTGTTGGAGTTCAATTCTCCGTCGTTGATATTTATTCTTGTTAAGTTCAAATTAGTTTCCTGTTCCTCTTGTTTCTTGTTTTGCTTTAATTCTTCTAATATACTGTATTTCTTTCTCCAATCACCATTATCATCAAAGTTAGATTTTAAGATATAATTATCATCTTGTTCTAAAATATTCATGTGTCTTGGAATAAGAATATATTTTTTACTAATTGCTTTCAGAATCTCCTCTTCATTGATTGACGTAACCACGTTAGAATTGCTGACTGTGTTAAAACAATATTGTGGTTTTTCATACCTAGATAGACATTTTCCCATGTACTTACGATCGTCAACCAATTGGTTTTGGTTTACTGTGGTAAAATAATCCTGTAAAATATTTAATGTATACGTTAAAGGCTTACAGATAAATGTAGAATTCACCAACTCGCTATACTGAAAGTAATGAAAAGAAATGTCTTTCAAGAGTACTATCACTTTCATTGAAATACGTACCAATTTCTAATTTATTTAAATAACATATTCATTTAATATATACTTTAATATTGTACGTAAGATTAGAGTTTTAAACGAAACTTATAACAAAGACGCACGTTACTTACCTTTGGTGCATTACGCACTTGTACTATAGCAGAGGTATTACGAATTTTGTCAAGTCTTTCTAATATGTACTCATTCCGGTCTTTACGCTTTTTATCTTCTTCGATGAAGGAATCATACTGTTTTCTTATTGCGTTTATACGCTCGGCTTTGAGTCTGCAAAAAAAATCTTACATCTTACTAATATTATAAATGCGAAAGTTTAGATGGATGGATGGATGTTTGTTAGAGTTTGTAGCCTAAACGGCTGAAGGGATCTCGATGAAATTTGGCATAGATGTAGAGGATAGTCTGGAAGAACACATAGGTTACTTACTTTTGTTTTTTTTTAATTCCGCGCGGACGGAGTCGCGGGCGAAAGCTAGTATAATATACATCTAAAATTCTCTTCTAATACTTCATCATCGTAAAATATTAAAATATGAATTTTGAAGGATGCCCCACTACACCTATTAGAGAGTATGATCTTACTTTTTGTTAGGTTTTCCCATCTGTCTCCTCAATACGTCTACCTAACTCAGAAGAGTCGTTGAGCGGTTCACGTTGTATCAATGTAAACAAAGCAATGCCGCGTCGACCTTAGCAAAGGTTTTACATGTTGCGAGACGCCACACGAAATCCAAATAGAAATATTAGTGAGCGTACATATTGTGCTACCTCAATTTTTCAAGTACTAAGATAAAAGATGGATTGATGAATTGTTTTACGCAGTCTCAATGCCCTGCAATATTGTACTACTAGTATAATAGCATTAATCTTCTTAATAGTTTAATTCGTTGCATTCAGAAATCAGAACTACGCACTTAGTTTATAGAAGCAAATACAGAGCAGTATTGTATGGCCGGACATTGTATCAACACTTGGGGGCTCTTTATATTTAGCTTACTCTCTTTAAAGTTATCTTTGGTATTAACGAATTTATTTCAAGTACAAATATTAAAGTAGACGTAGAGTGTAAAAGCAGCAGTACCAGGCTATGTCTGGCACGGCTCGGCTCGTCTTTACGTCCATAGCATGAACACGAATCGCAAATGACCTTCGACCTTGCTTGTTCACTCCGGTCACGGAAACTATATTAGCTCTATATATGTTCTTCGACTTAAACCAAAGTTAATTTCAAGTATCAGAAATTCATTATTGAATAGATTTTATACAAACACATAATTTAAAATCTCTAAAACCAAATGAGAATGACAGGAGTCTTGTTCTAGATCGAGGCGGCGTGGATTTTTTTTACATCTTAAGGTGGCAAAAGAGTAAGTGGCCACCTGAATCCGCCAAAATTGCGAAGCAACCGATGCCTATAATTGCACATCCGTTATTGCAGATGCATTGCCTACCCTTAATAGACAAAAGAGAAGACGCACATTTAGAGGATGTTTCCCCTTCCTACGCGTCTCTTGCACCGACTAATCCATTTTCTATTCCCATTATTTCGTTATCAGAAAATGGTGGAAAGGAAAATGGACTAATACCAGATCTCCGTCACACAAACGAAACGTGGAATTACTCCCACTCCAAGCCTGTCTTCTGTGTGGTGTTGCAGCAGGTGTGCCGGCCTATTTGTGCGAAGACGTTAAAGCGGGCTCTACCGATATTAAATCCTTAAAAGGTAAGAGGACCTCTTATTGTTAGAGATCCACAATGGCTTAATGATTGATGTGCTTATATTGTAATAACAAAAGTAGACCAATATAACTCGGAACTCATCCAGCGCGTACCACACAATTACAACTTTGGTTCCAGTAACCCGTGGCTGACAACATTCTGAAGATTTTGTTACGAGTTTCACATCTGCAAGCAACGGCCCCAACCGCTTTTCTTATGCCATTAACAGGACAGGACATTTAGACTTATAGAAAGTATTATAAAGAGCGACTTCTATGTCGAATAACTTAAAGTTTTTTTAGAATTACTTACAGTTTTTGATAAACTGGTTTACACAGGCGAAAAGTTCTTCCTGTTATTTTAACCATGTCTTTTTTTCTGATAAAAGAAATCGAGTTTCTTAAATACAAATACGTAATTTTTACGATTTTTATTTAACTACAAATGTTTGGCGATATTTAAATAGCAAATAAAAAATTGTCACTTATCCTTTTATTCTTCAGAATAGAAGGAATGCCGATTAAAGAAAGATTTTTATAGGGAAGAAAAAAGGATGCTTTTTTTTAGGCTGCATTTAGATTCCTAGAAATGTTTTTGCTCTTTAACGCGTCTATTTATTATTATACTTTAATGAATTAACAACTTTTTAAAAAAATGCTTTTTATTCCTTACTTTGAAAACAAATATTGTTTGAGTTTTTTCCAAATTGGTATAATGGCAACAAGTTTTTGACATTGTCATTTGTGACATAACAGCTGTTTTTGCGGTGTTTTGGTTTTGACTTTTCAAAATATTTTCAAATAAGTTAGGTTATCAACTTACATAATTCATATTATTTAAAATAAAATGATTCATAAATGGTTTCATAAATTTGTACGACGAACAACAAAGCCCATTCCAGAAGACCAGGCCCTCTTATGGAAACGTCGCCTCAGTTTAGCTTACGGATTTGTTGCGTGGAATGCATTCGGTTTACTTGTTTATGCCATTTATCAAGGCAAAGCGGATTGGGCACATTATTATGGTCTGAAAACAGACGAAGAACAATCCATGCCACCAGGTACGTGTCAAATTTTTGTAACAGTTTTTTTTTTACTGATGAGCTGTTTAATTGTAAAATATTTTATCCTGTTTATACTTCTTTTAGCAAGAGCTTGGGCGAATACCTTAGGTATAAAGAATGCTAAAGTATACAGAATATCTGGTTTCACAAAAGTAGATGAGTATGATATAGTGGAGGGAGAAGAAAGGAGACAAAAGAAACCCATAGGAGATGGTGAAGAATTAGAAGATTAAACATAATTTTATTAAAGTAAATATTACATTTGCATTGTAAATATATTTTAGCTTAAGAAAACTATTTTTGTCCCACAATCAACAGTTTAAAGATTGTGTGCATAACAAACACATTCAATTTTTAATAAATAAATGTTATTAAAGTTTTAACAATAATTATTTGCCAATTATTATATATTCTACAATATTCCTCATTATGATGATAAATTACAATAAAAATTAAATGAAATGGACAGTATAACCACACCCTAAGACTCCCTGATATGCTGCAAAAGTTATTTACAAACAGGAAACACCAATAAAGGCTAAAGGATTGATTAAAAATTGAAGTTGACAATATAAAAATACCAATATAATTCATTTAAATATTTTGAACATGTATAATTCCATCAATTGCTAATAATAAATACATTTTTTTAAACATATAAGGCACTTACATTTCTAAGTAAAATCACATTACACATAATCACTTATGATTAGAATCACAGCTTTATAAGGCAAAAAAATAAGCTCAATAGTTGGGATGTGTGTGGTAAGTGATGGCGCGTCTTCTTCGCTCTAATTCTTGTAGTAAAGCAGATCTGAAATACACAATTTTAAAAATTTCTCACATCTAATCCATAAAATTGTTTGCTTAAAAAAAATTACGTAACAGTATCTTATAAATCAATTAATGCCAAAAAAAATGCACTAAAAAGCCTCACTCATTGAGAGACCACGAACCAAGCCATAGAGAGGCACAAACATCCTAAGTATTCACATTGTTTTTTTTTTTAATTAAATTTAAAGTCTTACTTCATAATTTTTTTTTTAAATCATACCATCCCTTGTTACATAATTTTCAAGTAATGTATTGTTAACAGGTATTTCAAATTTTAGCTCAATACAATATGTTTCTAATTTAAATTACTAGACTTGAACGAAATAAAACGGTAATATAATGTAATGAGTTTACTAAAGGTTTAATTTAGTTTTTCATCTCCAACTAAAGTATTGGTATGTTAAAAAGTGATATTTTACCTATATCTCTCGTATTTCATCACAATGAGCTGCAGCTCCTGCTTGTAGAGGCGTGTCAGCATGTCCGAGTAGCAGTCCAGCTCGCTCAATCGGAACATGTTCCAACGCAACTTGTGGTCTAACTCTTGATCCGCTAAAAATATATCACCACTATAATTACCATCATTCAGACTATGCATAGTAATAGACTAGAATAGGCATCCTATTTTACTATACTAAGACTAGTAATATTGCATCATACTGTTGATTAAATAGAAAATAATTCGTAATTTGATTGTCTTGCAAATTCAGACACTCTTTGCTTCAATAACTTTACCTTTAGAATAAACAATGAGCCAATGAGGTATCTCTTCAAGTAGATAAGGTGGCACCAGAGTAGGAACGAGTGGGCTAACTAAGTAACAACCACCGACAAGACAAGGATGCGCATATGTTGTTTGATGAGTTATTTCACTGCAACAAAAGATAGCATTAGTATATCAAAAAACGACTAATTTACTTGTTTAGGCCTAACAATACTACTAAAAAAACAAAACATGTTGCTATAGAAAGTGTTCAAAGATGGTCAGATTGTAATTTAGAACAATGTACATACTTAAAATAATATACTCCATGATGTGGTGTAGAAACTCTCTGCCAGGGCTGCGGAACACTCTCCAGAGGGTGCGTCCAGTGTGTGGTCTGTGTATTGTGGTCCATGTAGTACCGCCGGCCGCGTAATGTTCTGTCCGCGGACCAGCCGGGCGGCAATGGCAGCTCACATTCCTCTGAACCTAATACAATGTTGTTTGCAATATTAAATTGCATGATATTGGCAGAGGACTAAAGCTCAACCCCCCTCTGTTATAACCATCAAAATTCCTAATGGACAAATAAGAATTCAAAATCTTACTTCTATGTTATTAATTTTTAATTCCAAGTGGATGAAGTTACGGCCTAAAGCTATAGTTTAAAGTAATGATTCCAATACCATTTTTATGTGATAGTAAACTGCTTGATATTAGTTTAAGCTATTGCTTTCTATACCTATCAAGGACCCTCCAATATCACGAAAAATATTAAAGAATATTGACTAAGAGCTAGGAGATTGTAAATGTTTGTTAAATTAAACATATTTGGATAATACCTTGACTACTAGAGATAATGCTGCTGCCCGGACCTTTGGTGTGATAAGGAAGTGCAGATGCATTCACATAGTTGGAATATATTGGTGATGATTGACTTACTGTTGTGTATGCTGCAAGAAAAAAGATTAATTGGTTTGTTCAGAGATCTATAATACATATTATGAAACAACAACACTTTAAAGTGACACCAGTTTCCTTAAATCAAATGATTAAATACTGAAACTATGCCTTAAATGATAAGGCGACGTTTAAACTAATTTTTTTAAAACATTATCGTCTGTCAGTTTGTGAGTGGTGCTTATGAAGCAATGCATTTACCATTAGAAAATTTGACTTACAGTCAGTACAAGTATGTAGATGTATAGAATGTGGCGATGGAGGATGCAGTCTTGGTGTTATACTCAGATTGGAAGAGATCCGCGGCATGCTGGACTCCCGGGAGCTGTACTGCTGTTGTTTCTGCTGTTGAACCTATTAGAAATGTCTATCTTAATTATATTCATCCAATCATTTGTGTTTATGTCTTCTAAAGTTGTTTTGATAATTTCTTTTATTAATTCTCAAATTACATTCAATTTTACTTGTTAATTTATATAAATCCATTGAGATATTTAGTAAGGAAATAGAATAGGAATAAATATTTAAGTATAAACAAATAATAATCTTGAGTAAATATTATCTTCCTTTTAAATAATTACAAATCTACTATATTTAAGCAAGATATGTAAAATTGTAAAACATAGCTGATGGTGGAAACTAATGTTTAGAGGGCATGATCATTTATCAAAAATGATATATCTGAATCATACCTGTTGTTGATTTTGATAAATAGGATCCTCAGGTTGTTGTTGCCTATAATACCTATAGCTCGGCTGACGGCTAAATGAATCATCTACTTCATTTAGAGTTGAATGAGATGCCTAAAATATCAACAATAATAAAATATTTGCTCAATAATTAATAATGTTTGTAATAATTAGCAGAAAATACCATATTTAAATCCAAATGATACTGGGAATTATAATTGCTGGATGAACTAGCTGCATCACTGGTTGATAAACTTGCAAATCTAAAATATTTAAACTTTTATTATGATAAAATTATTATAAATATGCCACAACATGATCAGAACATTAGCAACCAAGTATTGTACCTATGTGCTAAGTTTGGTACTGATTCACTAGGCGTGTACTTTCCAGCATGACCACTCATAGTTTGAGCTTTACCGAACTTGTTTTCCATCGCTTGAGATCCTCCATCGCTAGCCGCAAATGGTTGGCTTCGAGGTCTCCTATTATTTCCCGTTGTCCAGACATTTATTACTATAAAGTAAAACATACTATACAATGCATTTGTAGAACATTGCGTTTTATATTTAATTTAATTTTTAAAGGTGAGTAAGCTTCCTTTGGATTCGTAAACAATAAAACATGACACTGTATAAGCAAACATACTTGGTAGATCAGGCGGTGTATCTTTCTTCACATATTTCCCCACTACCCCTTCGTTAATAGCTTTCTGACCTTTTCTTGATATCATCTTAAAAAATACCGTTAATAGCTTATCTATAAATCTACAATTACTTAACCTATTGTAAATTATTGTTTAATTATCAACAAAATGTAAAATAAAAATAAGAATTTGAAATGTCAGTTTATGACATTTTTGTTTTTTAAAACTTGCCATATTAAAATGTTATTTTTATTTAAAAAAATCAAGTAAAAAATGCCCATCAAGAGTTCATATTAAATCTGTTTAATAGTAACAGTTATTGGATCTTTACTAATAACATAAGATAATTCCATTCAATATTTTAATTTAGTTCCCTATAATGTTTTTGACTTCATTCTATCAACTTGTCAAATTTGATCTTGTAAACATACAACACGCATGTTTTTGACGTTTTGTTATGATTAAGTTGTAAAAAATATTTAATTAACGTACTTAGTAATCAATTGCAAGAAAATGTTTTATTTAATAGGATTAGGTTTAGGAGACGCTAAAGATATAACTGTAAGAGGCTTAGAAATAATTAAAAAGTGTGATAAAGTTTTACTTGAAGGTTATACTTCGATACTTACTGTTGGCAAGGAAGCTTTGGTAAGTCAGCATATTAATTTATAACTACTTTTAGTAGAGTTTACACACCTGATTATATTTATGATGGCATAAGCTTTAATAAAACTTAAATATATTGGAACAATTTTTCTGTTTTTCACTTTTAATGTTAAATTTTATGTAGGAAGAATATTATGGAAGACCCTTAATACTAGCAGATCGAGAACTGTGTGAGAGCAATATAGATGAGACATTGAAAGAAGCAAAATTAAAAGACATAGCACTGTTAGTTGTTGGAGATCCACTGGGAGCTACAACACACACTGATATGCTTCTCCGGGCTAAGCAATTTGGTGTTGAATCACAGGTATCAAATAATACTTTGTTGTGGTACATAGCTCAGAGTCCGTGTCTAGATTATAAATAATATTCTATTATCAACTAAACTAATGCCTATAATGTAAATGTTTTTATTAAATTAACTCAAAATAATTTATATTTTTTTCTTGTCAATGTTTATGTACAATTAATATGATAAAGCTTATTCCAGATTATACATAATGCATCTATAATGAATGCTGTGAGCTGCTGTGGTTTGCAACTGTACAGCTTTGGTGAAACAATATCTATACCATTCTGGACTGATAGCTGGAAACCAGATAGTTTCTTTGAGAAAATATTAGAGAATTACTCCAGAAATTTGCACACCTTATGTCTACTAGGTTCAGCAGACAAAAATCATTAGGAAAATATTTATTTAACAAATAAACTTTGTATATTGGTTTTATCAAAACCACCATTTGCAACACCAAAATGCTTTTGAAGTATTCAGAGATGCAATAATTATATTTCTAGATATTAAAGTAAAGGAGCCAACTGAAGAATCATTAACAAAAAAAGTTCGACAGTACATGGACCCGAAATTTATGACTGTCAGAGATGCTGCAAAACAACTTGTGCAAATAGTTGATAATAAACCAGAAACAGGTAAATCCATAGACAACAAAAAAATTTAGATAATCTAGAAAAATTAAGTCTGGACTGACTGCTCACTAAACACTAGATATTAACATTTCTTCATTTCAATAATACAGCTTTTCTCATTTTACTCTCCCCTCTTTTCCACTGACATCCTGGCAATTAATAATTTTTTTCAAACCATGTTATTTCTGGTATATATGGCTGAAAATGTCACTAGTTAGACTTTTTTATTTTTTTCTATTCTACCTTGTTTTTCAGGTATAACAAGGGAAAGTTTGGCTGTTGGTTTGTCACGAGTTGGCGCTCCTGATCAGCGTATTGCTGTAATGAGCTTAGAGAAGATGTTGCATTTAGATCTTGGACCACCATTGCATAGTCTTGTTATACCAGCTTCCAAGTTACATCCATTGGAACTTGATTATTTGGAACAATTCAGATAAATATTATGGAATATTCAGCCTTTTGATATTGAAAGTTATGTTTACATTCTTTTTTTATTAAATATTTATAAATTGTTAAAACATTCAATCAACAATAAACATTCAATAACATGATTGTGTTTAACTTTCATGCTGTAGGACAATTCTAAGAAACTATTTTTATAACTAGTAAACTAGCTAGACGTAAATATTTATTTACGTTATATCATCTTCATGTCTATAAAGTATAGAGAATTTATTTACCTAAGCGAAGACACGTAAGATTACTAGTTATCTAAGGAAGAGGATAAGTGACAAGGAATCTCGGGAGTATGTATGTGTCAAGGAAACTATATTTTATGTATTGAAGAAGAAATGTTATTTTGAAATACATAATTAATATAGTTTTATTATTTACAATTACAATAATTAAAACCATGATATAAACAGATTTCAAACTGCTACCATAAGAAATAACATCAAAACTCAGCGTTGGTCCGCAAAGCTACCAAAACATTACTACAACATACAATAATTATTAAAATCAAACCGAATCGTAATTATTAAAAGGTACATTAATTATTATTTGGTCTAAGTTGCGTATTATAAATAATGAAAATTAAAAAATATACAAACAACGGAATGTAGACACTAGAAATACCAACAGGGGATTACTAATCACCTACTATTGGTACACATCAACATCTCTAGATTAACTGGAACATGGTGGGGTCACATTACATTACAATTATTTAATAATAATAATAATAATAGAGGCATGGCTTAACTCAATTTTACACTATGTAACACTAGGAAAAGTTCTTACAATAAATTATACAGTCTTCATACTTTAATTGTAAAGAGTACATACATGAATCGAATTTAATGATATAATATCTATAAGAAAAATTACATAACACGTGCTTCTCTATTAGTCAAGTGAGATTACAAAACTGAACTATATAAATAGATTTTAATTAGAGTATTTAAAAAGTTCAAACGGCCGATACTTGTTGGTCGTCGTCCTCGTCATCCGGCGCGTCGTGATAGTAGTCGTAGGGGCGAGTGACACCTTCATGCGAGTGCGCGCGACTGAGGCGCTCCAGGCGCGCCACCTGCGCCGCCAGCGTGTACGGCGCCTGCGGCATGCGCGGCGGAGGCACAGGCCGCACGCAGCTCGCCGTCGTGCACGAACCGTGCCCGCTGTCGCTCGACGTAGCGGATCCCGTCTTACGCAGCGGCAAGTTCACGAGTGACGTCACGCTGCTGCTTTCCGCCGATAAATCCACCGGCAGCGGCGTGGGCGTGTCTGAATGCGATCTCTCGTGGGCCGCCCGGGCGCAGCATATACCCGGCCCCGTACCATCCCTGCGGTGCGTACATGGCGAGGGCCCAGGCGGAGGCGGTCTCGGCTGATGCGGTCTGGTTTTAGCGGGCTCTGACAGGGCGAGCAACTTTCGGACAGCCTGCGGAGATGCAGCACCGAACTTATTACCCGCAAAGCTTTTCTTACTCTCGCTCGCTGACGATGCGCTGCTGGTTGTCGACAATGACGGCGAAGGGTGTCGTCGGCGGGGCATGACGGGGGCCGGCCCGGAGCCCTCGCATTCTAAAGACAGCGCATGCAAGCGCTCTTCATCTGTTTCCACGTGCATACGATTTAAGTATGCCTTTACGCGTCTCACCATTTGGGCTTCTTCAAACATTTTCTTGGGATTCGGAACATTTGAGGATTTTTTCCTTCTTTTCACTGTAACTTGGCCTTGTTGTACGCCCGTGGTTAACTGATTTAGGGCGACCATAGCGTTAGAAGGTGGTTGTTTTCCCAGCTCGAGTAATGTTAAAAGATCATATGGAGAGCTACACATATTAGTAAGAGTTCTCACCTCCTTAGCGATCATTCTAAGCTTTTCAAAATTGACCATACCTTCAACTTTAGTATCGTTGCCGAGGTGAATGAATGTGAGATCTTTTCTAACGACTGGGTAAAATGGTATAACCGGCGAACGTCCTTGTTCTGTCGTTACGAGCTGTCTGTATTTAGACATATTCCTTGACGGATCCATGAGCATTTGTAAATCGGAAAATAGCTTAATGTATTTCGTAGGTAATTTTTCCCATGTCAATCTTAACCTAGAGACAGCTCCGTGACCCAATCCCGAAATTATAGCAAACATGGAATTAAAGTTTTTACATTCTTTACAATGACGAGCCACCTTAATGAATTGTTTTACAATTTTCGACCTTCTAACGAGATTTTGTTCATTGACAACTTCTGTAACGACCCAGAACATTTCTTTGTTAACAAGACCAGCAAATTGCGATAGCATAGGTGTTCCATACCGGCTCTTTAACTCGAACAAATCATCGACATACTCAGTACTTTCGATTTGTCTAAATATACAGAAATCCTGTAAAGTTAATTGAACAGCAACTTCGACTGCATTTAATTGCAAAAAATGAACCACACTTTCTCGCAGAAGTTCAGGCGCCATTTCATCAGGTACTAGAGTCTCACTTAAGCCATTAGTTTTTAAATAATATCTAGAGCTAAGCCCGATTCTTTCCGCGAGGTTCTGCAGCTGGTCTGGAAGACGATGTTGTTTTATAATGCCACCTTGCGCCACTGACACCTCACATAGGGAAAAGTTAGAACTGGGATCAGTTATACCAAACTCTTGTAATGTCAACATCACTACTTCCCTAGCTGTGGTTTCCTTGTGAACTAAAAGATATTTACAAGTTTGATCTACTCTATAAACCTTGAGTACGTGTTCGGGATAATCCGAAGATTGATATTCATCGTAACATATTGATATTAAATCAGGATTGCTGTGCGAACTATAGAAAGAGGTGCTCGAGTTGGCTTTGTTTAATGATTCGGAATTCGAGAGGATACTGTCATCTGTGTGAATTCCGTCGCTGATAGTATTTTTAGGCAAAATATTCATTTTCATTAAAGCTTTTTGGAGTCGCCTTTTTGGACCGAGAGTCATAAAACCTTTTTGTGGTTCTTTTTTAACGCTCATCGGTTGAGGTTTCTTAGTTGGCGATTGAAAAACTGAATTGAGTGTTATCGGGTCATCGCTCAGTAACTCAGCGGTAGACAATCGTGCTCTAGGGTCAGTTTGCCAGCGTACTGCACAACCTCTTTGTCGGGGCGAATTCTCGGGCATTAGTAGCATTTGCTTAAAAGCTAACAAGTTACTTTTAACTGTGATGCTTAAGTGTGTAGAACCCGTAATAATTTCCATGGCTTTAGCATGACTTACGTGTTGGAATGACTGACCATTTACTTCGAGAACCTGATCTCCTCTCTTTAAACCTACATCTTCAGCCTTTGAGTGTCTTTCAACTTTCAATATAAAAATACCATATCCACGTTCATAACCGCCGAGTACAGTGAAATTCAGAGGCTCATCTCTTGAAGACCTCGATAGAGTGACGCTCCGTGTACGCGCTTTAGCAGAACAAGCAATACTAAGTAGTCTCAATTGACTCTCCATTTTTTCTCGTTCTAATGCTGTGTCGAAGTTTTCGAGAAATTCCATCATATTAGGATCAGTTTCAAAATCTGTGAAATGATTATTTACCCAAAGTAATACTACTCTAGTGACTTTATCACGATCGGAAGGTTCCGAGAACCAGGCAAGCAATTGTTTAGCAACCACAAGGGGACTTTCTATAAAGGTTCGATGTGTCAGAAGAAAATCTTCAACATACGTTGAATCACGTGAGTTATCTTCAATCAGTTGAAGCATCAATTGTTCTGGCGTCCCCCTAATGACCACGTGTCCTTGTTGATGTGCCGAGTCGCCAGCAACACCTCTATATTCCGTAACTAATACTACAACGCCATTCTCATTTTCATGCCTTCGTATATTCTCCTCACCTTGATGCAAAATACGATAATAATCAGTTTGTGTGATACAAACAAATTGACAGTCGTCGCATCTCGTCGTCATAACTCCCCTGTGATATAGTTTTTCAAGCGTAGCTTCCGCCATTCCGAAACTGTCCCCAACATTAAGATACTCAATTTCTCCATTTTGATGTTCTATACCAACATGGCCATTGATGAGCACTGACCAAGAATCATGTTCTTCTCCATCATTCATTACAACTGTTCCGGCTTTCTCTACAACCGCAAAAACCATCACTGCACAGAGTGCTTTACGAACTGTTAGCGTCATATTAGTGAAAGCTTTCAAATGTTGTGTGAATTCTAAAAGAATTTCAATGTCTTCATCAGTTCTGTCACTTGGGTCTTTTTCAAGGCAGTCTCTTACAGCATCTCGTACTGTAAGACTATCCATACTTTCTTCCAAATCTTCTTCCTCATCTGAATCCACTATGGATTCAAGTAGACCTGATAAGTCTACCTCCATGTCCATGTCTAAAGAACTGTGTACAGAAGTCATGGTGTCACTGCCACTATAGGCTGAGCTTGTGTCACTCGCGTTGGAACACTTTAGTGTGTGGGGATACAGCTCCGGACTGTGACGGCCGCCACGCCCACCTCTCAACATTGTGAAGTTTCTCACCTATTCTGACCTATGCCCAGCACCTGGAACAAAAACTAATATCTTAACAACCAAAAATGAACAACTTTCATAACAGTAACTACAGTGCACATGGAACTTAATCACATAAATGACTTTAATTATGGAGTCTTATAAATTACTTTTTTTTTTATGAAATGTTGATATTTTGTGCCTGCAGGGCAAAAAAGGGGAAATATGTGAAAGGGAAGAAGTTCAAGTCTTGGATTTAGGGGATATAAGGAAAAGAAGTTGTTTGATAGAGGTTCAACATCATCATGAGCTCCCTATAAAGGTTACTTTGACTTAAATAGAGAGAGGTATATTTCAGTGTTTTGGCACGTTGAGCGGATAAAAGTCTTGTCAATTGTACATAGTGAATGAGAGGTCTGTACTATACTGGTGCCATACTAGTTTATGTATACCAAATTATGTTTAATTAATATGTATTAATTAACATTTCCTTTTTTAGTCTACACAAGCATTTATCTGTATTAAACCTTTGGGTATCACATTTACTCTATCATAATGTTTAGTTCATAACAAAGGGAATTTCATTTTCAATTTTTTTTTAGGAACTGAAGTAAAAGAGAAACCAATATTGAAAGAAGTAATTAGTTTCCTAAGATTATCTTTTTAAATATCTCCTGTTTCATACTTGTTGGTAAAGCAGTTAATGAAGTAGGTTTTAACTTATTTTTTTTTACATTAGGAAATATTACAAACAGAATGTAAACATGAGTGTACCTTTTATTTAAAACATCAAGTCCATAATATTTAATGAATCTATTATATGTCATTTAACAAGTTCGGTCAAAATGTTCAGCCATTAAAATCTATAAACTAAATATTATTCCTATGAATAATAAATTTTCAATCGATGCATGCAAATAATATCACTATGAAGAAAATGAAGTTTTACACGAAATTATTTTTTTATGTCATAATAACAGATTAGAATTCTCTATTGAAAAAATCGATTATCTGGTTTGATATGTTAATGGATCATTTTAAGTAGTAATGTATAGTAGGTTCAAGTTTTGCAGTTACTTCCTACACAGTATCGTCTTGTTCATAGTATAAACGATCGAATCTGCACACAACAGGATAAATCAGAGCAGCTGTAATATTGGTTTTTCTATTTGTAATCTCTAAGTGCTAACGGCATGCAAGTAAACATAAAGCAAAGAATTAAGTTAGAAACCTTCACAATTTCTATTTATTTTGCATTCATGGCGGAACTGTCAGCGCTTCCATGTTGCTTTCTAATTAGTCTTCCACTGAGTGACGCTTATTTTATGTATATCACAACACACGACACAAAATTATGTTATTAACTTTATCTTGCTAATATCAAATCACTAAAATTTATATTTTGTAGACAGTCAAAGTTCTAAGAAATTTAGAAAGCTACTTTCTCAACGTAGTACTCGGGAGCCACAGATGCATAATTCATAACTAAAAATAACGATAAAAATTTTCTGGTCGAGAACCATAACAAAAAAACTATGACCGATTCAATTTAGAATTAAGTAACGATGTTAACAGTACTTCTTTTAATTATTAAAAGATTAACGTAAGTGTTTAAAAGAAATAATTTTAATTGGTATTGTTCAAGTTTTTATTAATGTCTTTTAGAATTAACTTTGTTGATTTTCGTTGCAAAATACATGTTATTTATTTTATGTAAGGAAAAAAACATCATTCGGTTTTAATGCTTGTTTAACAGAAATATGATTTTTATGCTATTTATTCAAGATTTGTTAACTGTTCTTATCTGTACGATGTAATCCTTCTTGAACGCTACTTTGCATTCCAATTAAAATGATCATCCGTCTCACAATAATTTATTATTGGATTTCTTAAAATCTCATGTGTTTTGGTACAAGTAATTATCTTAATAAAAAATTAAATATATTTAAGTGTTATCAACCTTTATTTTATGGCTTATTATTACATTTCAATTTAAAAAGTACTTGTGTTGGTTATTGGAACATTTTTATATCTCCATCTATTTTCAGAAATAGGTACTTTTGAGTGCTGGCGTTTTCACTGCAAAACCAGTGATGATAGTCTTTTAGCTAGGTTGCAATTGTAAATTAATCGTTAGACAAAGCGGAAAAAGTCGCAGAAGTATATATTTATTCATGTAAAAGTGCAATACATCAAAATAATCTCGTGTGTAGCGGAAAAATGCATCTAGTTTCACTGTGTGTGTCGAAACGGATGGTGAGCGATGGCGAGAATACGGTGATAGATTTTTGGTGTTGAAAATTTGCCCTGTGTCATTGTCGATTTAGTTTTCAATAACGTCTGAGAAAGACAAAAACTGTTTTGTTTCGACTTTTGTGTATTACTACATTGAAAAATCATCTATTTTGAAGAATATTGTCGAGAAATTAAATTGTCATCGACTGACCGGCTGATATTACACGAGGCTTGTATGTATATGTTACTTCTGCCTACTGGTATTCGTGACACGCCTCAGAAAATAAAACTGATTTTGTGAATGGAATTGTTCTTTATTATTATTGTGTCATTTTGGTGATAAAGACGTTTTAAAATTACGTAACTGTTGTGGAATCTTGAAGTGTATAAAGAATGGCCTGAGTGTGAGCACTCTATTGCCGTCATGTGTGACGAAGGAATGTTTGTTTAGGCTGTAGTATTTTGTTGCGACTGTACTAGGAGTGCGCGTTCGTCTCGTCAATTGGACCGGATCATGACACTATCCGAATCAAAACAATCATCGCATTGATCGCACTCGATATTGTCATTTGGGACACTTTTATATAAGCAAAATGTCTTCGGGAACGTTTGTGGATAGAATTGATCCGTTCGCCAAGCGTTCGTTAAAGAAAAAAACCAAGAAATCGCAAGGTTCCTCCCGCTACCGCAACACGCAGGACGTGGAACTTCAGGCGCTGCCGCTTCTCAAAGGTGCGTAATTCACACTATCTCTGCCTCTTGCCCTCTTATCATTTTTATCTACATTGTTTATAAACGATATCATAATCAAAGATCATCTAAGACAATTAGAAGAATTATATTATTACAAAACCAATTAGATTTTCGTAAGATTCAACTGTCAATTACATTAATAGGTTATAGAGAACTTCTTGTGTGTTATGTAGTGCAGTTAAGGTTATTTAGTTAAATGTCTATGTAGATAGTAAACATATAAATGTAATGTCAGTTAGCTTTAATAATTATATGTTTGTGTAAACACAGTTGCATCCATGCACATATGCAGTCACAATGTGTTTTGAGTTTGAGTGAAAGATGAGGAAAATGTACAGTGCAATTATATGGTTCTAAAAAAAGTTTGTTTATGGTGCATATTAACTCAATAAATTAATAAATAGCTTGATTGGAATAATTGCAAAAAATTTGGTAGTTTTTCAACTATTTTTTTACAAACAAAAGTTAATTAGTGATCATTTTTATGAATAATATTTTTTTCTGTTATATAATTAAAATGTTTTCTAAAATTATTATTTTTTGAAGTATATATTTACTAACAACATTGAAATTCAATTCCAGATGTTCCAAATAGTGAGCAAGAGGAGCTGTTTATTCGTAAACTGCGGCAATGCTGTGTGGCATTTGACTTCATGGATCCTGTTGCTGATCTCAAGGGCAAGGAGATAAAACGTGCCACACTCAATGAGCTTGTAGAGTACATTACTGGTGGCCGTGGAGTGCTCACCGAGCCCGTCTATCCGGAGATTATTAAAATGGTAAGGTTTGAATTGTTTTTACTATGTTTTCTGCCACACCTATAAATTGTTATTAATTCCTTCAGTACAGAAGAATAAAAACAATAACAAAGAACTGCTTTAAGTAGCTAATTTAAGACAATCAACTATCTTCTTACTATTACATTTTGGATAGATGAAGTGAGACCTGTACTTGTATTTTATGTTAGTTCACGTTTTTAAAGTAATTGAAACTGCATTTCAATTCTGTAACTAGATGATTTGTTATTTGTTTTCTGTAAAAAGTATCAAACATTACAAGTTTTAAAAATATCTTTTTAAAACCTTTAAAAAGACTGTCATTGATAAGAAAATTTGAACATTTTTTTCATTATTTATTTAATGAAAATATGAACTAATAGGAATTAAAAAGCTATGTGTGAAGTCAACCAACCCGCGCTCGGCTGGCATGGATGACTATGGCCTAGTCCTTAGGGTTGACTCCGAGCCCCTTGGTGGGAATTATAGTGAGCTGGTGCTGATGGTGCTGCTGATGGCATTCTTACTTTCTTGATGTTGGCAGCAACTTATGGTCTCTTTTCCATATTAGAGTTTTTATCCAAAATATTTACCCACCACACCAGCATAGTGTAGCACAAGCTTTAAAAAAATTGGTATATAAGGTAGTGAAGTGTCATAGTGGTATTTGTGCAACTTGGTTACCAGTTACCAAGTCATAGCTATTTACCAACATACATTATGTATAAAGTCCATTTATGTAAAGTTGCCCTAGTCATGTGTCAACTCCTTTTTCGGCTTTTTTATTGAATGTAATTATTTTTTATTTAAAACATTGTTCTATTGAGTATTTAGGAAAAAATCTGTTATAATTAAAAATAGATTTTTGATTCTTATTACGTTTTTGAATGGTATATCAAAGAGAAATGAGCAGTACAAGATTAAATGTGACTTTTCCCTGCCAAAGTACCTTATAAAATATTTTTTGTGTTACAAAAAGAGGTAGTGACAATATATTTTTGTATAAGTATTTGGCTGTGGAAACTCGTTCTTTAACATGTTGATCGGCATTTATACTTAAGTTAGGTGATGCTGCTTTTAAATTTCACAGTAAACAGAGAATGTAATTTTCCTTACAATGTTTTTCTATATGTTTTTATGAGCCATAGTTACCTTTAGAATTATTAATTAAATTCTTTTGGGTAGATGATTGGAAAAATTAAACAAGGTACTCTCCAATAGGACAGATAGATTGGTGAAGTAATGTTTGAAAACTTGACTAGTTATTGACTTTATACTTATTTCATGTTAAGTTTTAAAGATTTGATGTGATGTCATCTTTTACTTGTTTGTTTTAATTGTTATTCTTAATAATTTCTAGGTCTATTTATACATATTGGTACAGCAAAATTATTCTATGTATATTTTTAAATTTCAGACAAATGTGAAAGTGTGAACAAATTACCCAACCTTTTTTTATGACATGAGCATATCAGTTTTGCATGTTAATTAAGACCCACATAGACATAAATAATAGAATAAAGCCTCCAGCTTTTAGATTTATTATTTACTGCAGTTGAGTCACACAGATAATGTATTTCTTTTCATAGTTTTAGTCTTAACTGTATTTCTAAACAAATTTTATTACAGTATTCTATATTGTCTTTGTTATTTCAGTATTCAGTATTATTGGGCTATAATTAAATTTTTAAATAATTATAAATGGGATTAGGCAAAGGGTGTGGCAAACAATAGCTAAACCATCAATCACACTTTTTATTGTAATTCTGATAAAGTTTAAAAGTTACAGCTTGAAATGTTTTTGTCTCTCCAACTTATGTAGTAGAAAATGCTGTCCCATTGGAATAGCGTCCCCCTCGTCTTTTTCGTCCACTTAAAAAAACGCTTACGACTTTCCATTCAACAATGTATAACCATTTTCAACCAAGGGTTAGGGTTTGAATGACTAAATATCATCTCAAAGTATAAGAGTAAACACAAAAACCAAACGGAATACAGTACTTTTGTGTTGATAGGGTCAGTCAAGTTGTACTTTTGTAAAAGTTTCTATAAAAGAAAATATTTTTTTAAAGGGGTACCACTGCCTTCTTGCAGAATCTAGGAAGATTTTTGTACACCACTCAAAGCGGTCGAAATTTGCGTTAACCTGTGTGTCAAAACATACACAATCAAATTGCGTTATCGCCTGTTAGCTTAAGACATGATAAAACAACAACCGTTAGCATTTACATTATTAGTACCATTTTAAACCAGCGATTTACCGCGATGTTCGGTAATATTTACTGTATATTTCATGATTAAAAAATGAACTACTTATCATTATACTTTTTCTTTCATTTGGTCATTGTTCCTGTTTTCGCGTGGATATGACATTGTAACTGTATCCACTGCAGTGTAATTTATATCAAATAACAACACATTCGTATAGGATTTCATAGCTTAGCGACTGTCGAAGAATTACATCGAAGTATACAAAAATCAATAAATTGAGACTTGGTGACCTTGAAACGTCCTTTCGATCTTATTGTTAACCTATGAAGATGTTACTGGACTGTCCCAGATATTTCATTTTTCTAGCAAATTCTTCCTGTCTTAGAGCGTATTAACGCCGCTATGGAATAATATTCACATCTTAATCAGAGACTATCGTAAATTAATTTCTATTCTAAATAATTATTGTGTTAACTCTGTAACGGGCGTGTTGTCATAACAGTTAAAATAGCATAACCAAATTAACAATACAAAAATAACAACAATACAATAATTTTTATTCTTAATCCATACAAATGTCTAATTGGATATATCACAATGTAATTCGATTCAAATAGATTTAAATACTGGATAAATCTTGTGTTATAAAATTAGATTTGATTCACATTTATCTGCTTCCAATTATGGAATTATTAGCGAAATTACCGCAACATCAAAATCGTGATTAATATAAATATGCCGTGATATCACAGCTTAAATAGAGCAAGGTTCTGTATATTATCTGTATTTTTGTATGTATTAAATAATTCAAAAAGTACTGAGTCGATTTCAATCATTCTTATACCATAAAAAGCTACGTTTTCACTGAGTATCATAGGCAATGTCTTGTTTTTAAATTTTATTCTCACGCGGACAAAGTTGCTAGCAACAATTAGTCTACTATAAACTATTAACAAAAACGTATTTTTTTTATATTGTTTGTCATAGATATCGGCCAACCTGTTCCGCACTCTGCCGCCGAGTGAAAATCCCGACTTCGACCCTGAAGAGGACGATCCGACTCTGGAGGCGTCGTGGCCGCATCTCCAGCTCGTCTACGAGTTCTTCCTGCGCTTCCTCGAGTCGACCGACTTTCAGCCCACCATCGGCAAGAAGGTTATTGACCAGAAATTTGTTTTGCAGGTAAAGTACATGACTTATGTTTATTTAGTTATAACATTTTCATGAATTATTTTAGTAAATATCAAGCTCTTCGTCACTGGTCGCCGACAGAATCTTTTGTTTAGGATTAGCTACCGCACAACTGAAAATTGTACATACGCTAATAATAATACCGTTTGAGTGAATATTTACTTAATATTGTATTACTAGTACATGCATATTAGTGTATAGTAATTAAATCAAAGCCTTTTTCCCACGTTAAAATTATTATATTAAGTCCTTAACATTGTATTTAATCCACCAACGTCTTGGTAGCTTCGGCCTTTTAAAATGAAAATTGCACGCTCTTTTTTGTCTAAAATAAAACTTCAATGAGTTTACTACACACGTTTTGTCAGAATCGTATTTTCTTTGATAAGCATAGGATATTGCGTCTTATTACTGATGCGGTCAAGGGTGATTATGGCTTAATGTGATGCATTATGTCAATACCATACATTCACTATATCGACACGAGCAATTCTTTGGATATTGTCATTCAATTGATTTCAATTATACTTTGAGTATTCACAGCTGTAACTGTCTCTGTGAATGATATAGATCTCAGGATATCTTACTTTTTTGTTCAATCCCATCCATTGAACTGGTTTTTTTTAAGGAAACTACTAATTATGACATGTTTTTGTTTATTTTATTTTTCAATTTTCTATCTCCATCTATCATTATTTAAGATTACCATCGAGATTGTTAACTTTAAACAATCAATTTTATCGTTCCACGGTAAGAAATAACTTTCGCATTTTTATTACAAGATAACTATAATAATAATCCGATAAGGTAATACTAGTACGGCGATAGTTGTCTACCCCACCGTTATGTCTGATGTTCAATAAACATTTTAAATTAGATAACCTTATTATCTATGTGTATTGGAATTTTAAAGCCTAAATAAAAATGTAAATCCGGCTGTATAGATTAAAATATTTTTTAGAAATTAATGTTTACGTATTGTTTTTTGTTTTTTGTAGCTTTTAGATTTATTCGACTCCGAGGATCCTCGTGAGCGCGACTTTCTGAAAACTGTCCTCCATCGCATTTACGGCAAGTTTTTGGGACTGCGAGCCTTCATACGGAAACAAATCAATAATATTTTCCTACGATTTGTATATGAAACTGAACATTTCAACGGCGTCGGAGAGCTCTTAGAAATATTGGGAAGGTTAGTATTCTTTTAGATTTTGAAATCTTTATTTTTTTAGTACTATATTTTGAACATCTGACGATTTTTTTTCTGGGAAATTTTGAGGGTGACAGTGCACTATGTTATGTGTTTATAGCAAAAATTCTAATGCATTGCTTAGTGTTTTGCTTTTAAAAACACTTGTAACACTTTATTGTCATAGATAGAATACCCGCGTCTGAACAAACTTCAACTTTTAGCGAAAAAAATGTAATTGATGAGTGTAATTTGTTATTGTTATGCGTCATATAGTAGTAACTTCCATTGTTGTATTACTACTACGACTACTTTTACGAACGAGATAACTTTCATGATTTATAATCATAGTTTATAATTACTTAACTTTTTTGGACCTATCTGATGTAATTAATTGTGGTGATTTGAATGGGATTAGTTTGTGAAGAAGTTTTAGTTGTGTGTCTCCTGTGGAGTTTGAGCCATAAATTGGATTGTGAGATCCAGAAAATCAGTTATTACAATACAAAGAATGCACTCCGTATAGTTGAGCATTTTTGCTCAAACTATTAGACAGTGTTGTAATAGAATAAAGGCATTTCGATGCGACTGTTCATACATTATTGCATTTTGGTCGCTGGGTAAATGAAACAAGAGTGATTTAAAAGACGCCTATATATGATGGCTAAATTAATAAGTTATTGTTATCTGAATAGAGCAAATAAAACAACTATGTATTTGTGATATCAGTCCACTTATGATAGTTGTGTTGTTCCAGCATAATCAACGGGTTCGCCCTGCCGCTGAAGAGCGAGCACAAGCAGTTCCTGGTGAAGGTGCTGCTGCCGCTGCACAAGGTGAAGTGCCTGTCGCTGTACCACGCACAGCTGGCCTACTGCGTGGTGCAGTTCCTGGAGAAGGACGCTACGCTCACTGAGCCCGTCGTGCGCGGACTGCTCAAGTTCTGGCCCAAGACCTGCTCCCAGAAAGAGGTTATTATTCTCTATACATTACTAGTTCCATAGTCACAGTTTTCGTATGACATTATATGTCTACCGCCAATGGGGATGTTTCCTAATGTTACAAATCAAAATAAAGTTATGTTTAATATTTTAAAGACAGCATTTTATAACCTATAATAACATTTAGAGACCTTGAATGTTTGTCTCAAATTAAATATAAATTAAAAACGCTGCAATATTTTTTACCCTCCATTACTCGATCTCAAACACCAATGACGTCACTTTCTTGCATATAACATGGCAGTGTGACCAACTTCAGTGAATGTCAGTGCATTTTGTAGTTATATTTTTTTCTAAATGATTGTAATAATTGAGTTTGCGTGTTTTATATTATGAGGACTCCATTATTGAGTGTTTTTATAATTACGACATAAGTTATGAGCAAAACATTTTATGAATATTACAAAAGAAAAATATATCAAAATTCATAAGAGTAGCTTATAGTACAATTTAATTTATACCTGGTCACACTGGTGTAGGACGCAGTCACTGTTTACACACAAACATAATCTTCCACGAGAAGCAACAAGTGTAATTAATACGTTAAAAGTATCACCTTCTGTTCATTTTTTCTCCATTACTAAAAACAACTTTAGACAACAAAGATTTACGAGTATCATCAATGGTTCTTTCAAATTGACAGTGACAGGCCGTGACGCGAGGTTCGTATGCAAAGAAGTGACGTCATGGGACGTTTTGGGGGGAAATGAAAGAGTTGTTTTTATTTATGTGTTTTTTTATTGAAATAATGAGTATTATATTTTATACTATTTTTTTTCGTGTTCATACATGGTTTATCTACAAAATAAAGGCTATTCCAAAAATTAGGAAACATCCCCATTATCTGAAGAAAAAGTGATCAGTGATCTTCATCTGAATCAATATAATTGAAGTATGTGATGAAATTCTGCTATGCTCGTTGATCCTATAAAAAGAGGAAATGGACAACGGGAAAATGTTTAGTACTCTGTTCCTGGCATATACAGCCATTTTACTGATATTTTGCCTGTCAGATACATGTACTCAATTTGTTTTTTTGTAATTAACATTAACATTCTAAATAAAATAGATTTTTTTGTCATAGAACTGATCTTTAGTAATTTTTTTATTTGCAGGTTATGTTCTTGGGAGAAATAGAAGAGGTATTGGATGTGATTGAGCCAGCTCAGTTTGCCAAAATACAAGAGCCATTATTTAGACAAATTGCAAAATGCGTTTCCAGTCCACATTTTCAGGTACGTAATTCCATTACTTTGAGGAAAAAAAATAACTAATTGAACAAAGTAACAAGCAAAGGTATTATAAATGTATCGTGTTGGTGTTGCAGGTGGCAGAGCGGGCTCTGTACTTCTGGAACAACGAGTACATTCTGTCGCTGATGGAGGAGAACAACCAGGTGATAATGCCGATCATGTTCCCGGCGCTGTACCGCATCAGCAAGGAGCACTGGAACCAGACGATCGTGGCGCTCGTCTACAATGTGCTCAAGACCTTCATGGAGATGAACTCCAAGCTGTTTGACGAGCTCACGGCTAGCTACAAAGCTGAACGGCAAAAGTTAGTTTATTTCTTATACATAGCAAAATCTATTAAGTTGATCACGTTTAGTAATGTAAATTGTATGTTATTTCCTAGAATTCGGTTCTATATAAATTTTGTCATAAAATTTGTCCTTTCCGCCTTTAGTTATAAATTGCGCGACCTTGAATATTCATGTGTACTGTTGATAAGAATTGTGTATGATTTTAGTTCAACAATTTCTTATTTAATTGGAAATAAGAAATTATCATTACACATATCACTGGCTGGCAATGTGATTTATTGTTGAGGGATTTTTATTGAAGTTTCCGCACGTGAAATGCAAACGAACTCGACTATATTGAGATGTATTTGTTTTAGAGAGAAGAAGCGCGAGAAGGAGCGCGACGAGCTGTGGAAGAAGCTGGGCGAGCTGGAGATCAGCAGCAAGCGGCAGGCGACGAGCGCGGGGGGCGCGACGGGCGCGGTGGGTGCGGGGGGCGCGACCGCCAAGTGATGCCGCGGGCCGGCCCGCCCCGCGCCCCGCGCCGCGCCGCGCGACACAACGCCCCCCACACTTTACGGTTACACGATCCATTCGTATTGTCTATTCAATTACAATTTTTGTTAACGACGTGATTAATTTTTTTACACCATTCGATTATTCGTTCGTTCGGGTATTGGGTTGCCACCCGACAATGTATTTGCATTTTTGTGCATATGAAGTAAAAAAGATTCTGTACTAGTTGGAATTTTTTTTGATGGGAATTTATAATAGGGATGATCGAAATCGACGCTCGTCGAATGCAAACTATTAACGTTGGTCGACATCAGTGTTCTTGTACATATTGCTAGATTTAAATAAAACCACTAAACTCTAAAAAAATGGTATTCGAATAATCTGTTTTATTATAGTTATTGTTGCTTTGGTTAGTGGCGTCGATAGCGATGCGGTCCCCGACGACGTTACCGCGCCGTTACCGCGACGTTCCCGCGACGTGGACGCTTCTCGTTCAACATCGACGGTCATCCTTAATCTATAAGAAAGCAATAAATAGTACCGATGCTGGCGAGTCGCCGACGTCAGTGCAGGGCGTAACGTGGCCGGTTATATTTATTCTAAACATTATAGTATTGAGAGAAATATATTAAAGATGATGCTATATTTTTAATTTTATACCCTTCTTTATACTAGATATTTATGTGGTACGGTAGGATGGAGGGATACAGATCGATGTAAAATTTTCTCGCTATTGATAATTTAGGGTTAAAATTGTTAGGGAAATTAATGATAGACTTGCATTTTGTGTCGCCTTTTCCGACGTGTCCACCTCACGAGGGAAACATTTAGGTTGCTGAAGGGTGGCAACCCTCGTCTGTTGTCCGTCGGTCGGTTCGCCAGCGAGCCCTCCGCTCTCCGCCCTCCGCCCTCCGCCCTCCGCCCTCCGCTATGCGACAAGTTCCCGCCCCGAGAGCACTGTCATCACTGTACTAGAGTTAGCAGGCCAGCGTACTACCGATGTGCAGAATACACGACACACCACAAACATGTACAACTATACATTGAGTTAATATAAGATGGTCGATTCTGGTTAACAATATTTTAGATTAACCACTATCATATTCTAATTCAATTTATCAATCAGAAATATCACATACATTTTGTAAGTTATATTTTTTAAAATTCTATTGAAACCTATGCTTATGCATGTTTGCAAGTTATTCCACCTTCGTTATGAATGTGTCATATTCTTACATCGTTGGTACGTGAGCATATTATTTTAGATATTTTCCAACATTGTTAAAATTGTTTAAATAAGTTGAAAAAGTTGTATGTAATTATAATTAACGTATGTTCGTATGTATTGCATGCTGAAACACCGATATTTGTAATAATCGGGCACCCAGCTTTCGTCGGAATATAATTGTACAAAAAAAAACAAAGATAGGTAAATTACAATATACGATATGTTAGTGCGAGGTCCCGGTTGAGGCAGGGGTCCGTTCCGGGGCCCGGGTAGATTGTTCTATGTGAAATTTTCATTTATAAATTAGATGCTGAAATAAAAAACTGTAATTCGGTCGTACTATCAACATTCTGTATAGTGACATAGTGTAAATAGGCATTTATTTATTATAAATTAATAGCGGGCGATTATTTTGATACACGGGTGCGACAGTGCGCGGGCGCGGCGGGAGGGGCTGGAGGGGCGCGAGCGATATAACAGCCGCGCGGCTCACTCGGCTCATACGGCCCACACGGCTCGGTGGTAACGTTCATTCGATCACATTGGAGTAGAACAATGCTAAAGGTAGTTATAATAATTTGTAAGGGAATAGTCATTAATTTGTATGATATTACTGTAGCCATTAATTTTCTATGATCACCGGCGGAGCGTCGCCGAGCGCCGCCGTCGGCGCCGCCGCGATGTATGTATGTACACTATGGAGATGTTTGTTATGTATAATGTATTAACTTGCAAAAATTAAATATATGATCTTATAAATAAATTACTATTATAGAACACAGTATGGAAATAAAAAAGTTGATTCACATTAATTGTTTGTGTGTAAGAGTAGGCGCCCCGCGACGGCCTCGCTCGCCCCGTCCCGCGCTGTCCGGCGCTGTCCCCGCGCTGTCCCCGCCATATTCTAGCTGCGCATTCGAAATACACGACAACTTTAACATTCATTTAGTTTTTCATTTCCTCTCGTGGCCCAGAACCGATCGCCATCGAAATCTTCCACGCTTAGGTAGTACTAATATTTACGATTATATATTTTATTTTACTAAAAGGATGTTAACCTTTTAATTTGTATTACTAATATGTTGTAACGTGTCTGTACTTTGATAGAAGGGATTCAGCTGAAATTTTGATAACACTTGTAACACGAATCTGTATAAAACAATAAAAAAACCAAATGCATGTTTATGAGTAACATAATTTGACTTATTGTTGTTCGAATGGCCTTCTATTTTGGTTTGCTTTGTACCTACGATGTTGCGGTGGTCGCATTGCGTGTCGCCCACTTGGTACGTTGAACTTGTTGGGTCGATATCGTCGACCGGTCATAATCAAGTTCAAGTTTGGCGCATCGCCATGACTACAAAGTGCAAACATAAGGTGATACCACACCCTTTGTCTAGTGTTCAAAGTGTTCAGTCTATACCCGAGCTGTACGAAGCACGGTAAGTGTCTAATAAATGAATATTGAATAAATTACTTGAATATTCGAAGTTTGATATAAAAGATGAGAGTACACGGTACGCGAGCTTATATAGAACCGACGCCTGTACCCAAAATGCCAGCAGGCCTCGTTGAGCTGATGGAAGGTTTATCGAGGGAGGTGTTAAAGAATAATCCGACTGAAGTATATAAGTTTTGTGCACAGCACATGAGGAATTTGCTGGTACTGAGAGATGGTAAACGTAAGTTTAACCTTTTTTACCATTACGAATGTTTTAACATTTTTTTTTAATATTTGCTCACAGTAGTCATTAGAATATAAATAACAATAAACTTATCAGTACAATGTTAAATTATAATTAAAAAAATGACGTAGCGCTAAATCTTAAATGATTTATGGTCCAACCTTACGTTAAAATTTTATTTTAGAGTGGCGGTTAATTGCCACATCGATAGTTTAGAATTTTAAAAAAGCATTGTGTGACATTGATAAAAAAGACCCGATTTTAATTTAGAAACAATTTTTAGCACCGGAAAAATATTTGACTTTGGAACAAAAGATAAATAAAGCAAATAACATTATAAAACGAAGAGCAAATGAAAGACGTCGAAACTTTGATAATAATATGCAATTACACGTAGACCAAGATATAATAGAACAGTCATTCGGTAACGATGTTGAGATCGCTTCTATTGTTTTAAATGCGGATAATATGAATACATCTACAGCAGATTCGAAATCGCGCGAAGAAAATGTAGATACTACAAAGTATAATATTGAAGACATTCATCTAGATATTGAGAGAAGTATCAAAGACATTAGACATAATACTACGGATGATAGCGTAGGTAACGATAACACCGAAACCAAAAACGATCTTCATACAAAAGATAATACTTCTGATACATATGCAGATTCCCAGAATCAAGGGAATAGCACTGGTTTTGATAAAGACGACAAAACAAACACTGAGCCAGCTATTAATGACGATAACAAGAAAGTAGTTCAAGAATTAGATATCAATATCGAGAATGAAATAAATCCGATTATTGTTACTGCTAATATTGAAATTAACGACCAACCCAATGTAGAAGTGTGTGAAATAATCGCAGAAGAATATGATGTCAAGGAAGAAAAAGAAATTAAACTAAACGAGGATCCGCAAGGTAAATCGGAAGAAGCTGACCAAAACAATATTCAGAATATACAAGGAACTAATGAACAGAATCTTACTGTTGATGGTGACAACATAAAAGAGAATATTGTCATATCTCCCCTTGACAGTCTAAAAGATAGTATTGCAAACAATGAAACCGAAAATTATGATATTAAAGCTAATTTACATGTAAAGTATGCAGCCGTTGAAGATATCAAGGATGCTGAAAAAAATGATAGTACTAATATCTTAACAGAAGTACGTGTCACAGATTCGCCTGCTAAAGATGTTAACATCGCTGTTTTAGAAAAGAGAGATGATACGAATAAAGAAACTGTTGAAGTTATTGAAAAGCCGCAAAATCAAACAAATACAACAGAAACAATTGAAAAAGACATTGAAATCAATAACTCTAACAACACTACAGAAAATAATGCTACAGCTAAAATTATAACTGAGAATGATGTTTCTGAAAATGAGAATCAAGAAAAGGACATTAATACACTAATAAAAGAAGAATCTAACATTAATAAAATATTGAACGAACAAAAAGATAGTGACATAGTTATAAATATTCAAAGCGAACAGCAGGATAAAGATAATAAAAATGATGCCAACAGTAATGATGATAGTTCTCAACTTTCCATGAAAGAGTTTGACGACATCGAATCGAACAATAGTAATGAGCCCGAAACAGATAAATTAAAAAATCCTAAGACTATGGATTTGGAAACTGCTGCTATAACAATTCAAAAAGTATTTCGTAATTTTCTTTTTAGAAGTAAAACGTCTAGTTTAGAAGAACCAACAAACACTGAGTTTAATATGTTTGGACGCGAACCCTCAAAGGTATGTTTCATTGAGTACATTCTTTAGTATAATATTGAAATACCTGTGGCAATAGTAAATCTAAGTTCAAAGCTATGTAATAGATATAAATATGTTAAAATATTTTTTAAACTTAAGACAAACATTTCAGGATGAAAATAGTTTTACGATTCAGAATCAAAATAAAGACAGACGAGTTATGGGTATAAGTAGGATGGATACTGTCTTACAAACGGTTAACGAAGAAAAATCTCTGTCTTTATCAACTGACGACTCATCTACAATATCAAGCGCTGCTACTGTCATTCAAGCTCACATTAGAGGCTTTCTTTGTAGAAATAGATTGAATCGCAATAAAATGACTTCAAGCGCATCGCTAAACACATCTAAAGACTCTTCCCCTGTGTCTTCTGAAGCCGATCCAGACCTCCTTAAAAATAAAACCGTCTTAAATATTCACATTGTCCCTGAAGGTGGTCAATTCGTAAGCAGGGATGAAAGTATATTAACTTCAATGGAATTGTCTCTTGATGGTAGTCCACCGACATCTGCAAAGTTGCATCCATTGGGCTATGATAAAAGTGAACGTAGAAAGCAATTGAAACGGGAGGACGCAATACAATCAATTTCTCCACCCAGCAACAATAGCAGATTAAGTGAAGAGCAGGACTCTGTCAAAGAAGTGATTGTTGATGAGGTTGAAGTTGGCAAAGTAGAAAAGATTAATTCCGAAATTTTTGTTAAGTCTGAACATGTTAGTGACAAGCAGGAGCAAGTAAAGGATGTGCTTAATAGTAATGATAAAATAGAGACGGTAAATAATGTGGTTGAAATGGAACCTGCAGATTCTCAAATAACTGTTTCTAATGATGATATTTTCCCAAACAATGGTATAAAGAAAAACTCTTCAGAGGAAAAACTGAAGGATAATAAAGTCAGTGAAGAGCATGAGTTAGTTAACGAAAGTTCTATTGAAGAAGACAAAATCGTAATAGAGAAAGGTAATTGTGATAATGTCCCAGCTGATTCTCATGAAAATATTCCTATCCATAATGATGGTGAAATTGTGAAGGACGAAAATGAAGCAGAACAGAAGCTCGCAAAAGAAGTGCTTATTGGAAAAGAAGAAACTGGACAAAATCTTGAGCCAGAACAGAGAGTTGATTCTCAAAAACATGATGTAGATCTAAAAGAAAATGCAGAGGACAAAGTTGTGACGGAAATATCAACTGACGAATTAGACGTGGTAACTCCCTTTACACCAACTGAAGAAAACCTTAATGATTCTGAAAAACAAAGGTTGCTACATTCCGGTGAGTTCCACGATGTAGTTCTACCGACGAAGGTGTCCCGCAATGACACGTCAGTCGTCAGTGGTGAGTGAAGACAACTATTATCAGGTGATAAACCATTTCGTTCTACTGAAGCCAACGCATGAGCGCTAAGTATTTAGGTAGTTTGTACTTCCCTTTAATTTTGAGGCTTCTCAATGCTACGTAAAAAATAGTTCTATTTAAAATAACTAGCATTTCTAGCACAAGTAGAGCAAGTTGTAATATGGAACATTTATTAGTAAAAGTTTAATTTGACTGTAAAAATATTTATTTTCTTAATTTCTAACTAGTAGACACGTAAATAAGATACTGCATAGTCGGGAATGTAGAAATCATTTATTTAACAAAAAGGTTTTAGTAGTTAATAATAAATATTTGAATTTGTATTTTGAAAACACTTTTGTAGTTTCGTGCAACGTAGTGTGAATATTGTGGAAAAATTGGAATAACGCTTAGTCCAAGTTTTAATAGTATAAAATTGATGAGCGTTTGCAATATATGATCGTTTTGTTAAATGAATATACACAAGTTTTTTTTATTATTACGAAAAGTTATAGTAAATTTATATAGCTTGAAAATATAAACCTAATATGTATTAAAATTGTTTACCATAACATAAAATTTTCATTTTCAGATTTTCACAACGTCCTGGTGTACTTTTTAGTCTGGAATAATTAACAAAATGATTAAATAAACAGCTGAGATTTTAAGTTGCAGATTTTATATTTTTATTCCTTGTTATTAATAATAACCATTAAAGTGGTTTACTTTATAATTGTGATTGTGAGTTGAATTGAAAATGTATGTATACCTTATAGATGAAGACCATAAAATAGCTAGTGATTTAGATATGTCGATTTCGTTAAATTTTATACAACGGTGGAACCAGGATTTGCGCCTTTGAAGGTAGACCTTAAAAAATCTCTAAAGTGACGGTGATTTATTACGCGTATAAAAATGACGAATCTATATAAAAACAGCATTTTTCCTTGAATGTGCGATGTCTCCTTTCGAATAAATCTTATTTAATACGAGATAGGTATTGCAATAAATGAATAATTATCAAAAAATCTAGCATCCAAATATATTTTTTATTAAATGTTGTATTTACACAATAGTGCGCATTAAAGGGATAATCAGCATTGAAACACGAACCTGCTTCCAGTGACAGATGGACTTCTCAGTGGCAGATTCTACCAAGTACATAACGATTCATACAATTAAATTCAGGATTAAGTTTATTGTTGGCTTGAGAATATCATTCATGCAGTTAATATTCAGTGGTTTAATATTTATGCTTTCAAATTGGAATACAATTATAAAAGAAGCACGCTCGCCTATTCTAATAAAATAGTGAATGTAATACTTTTAAGATTGAATGTTGATACAAAGGTAGAGGTAGGTAAGACAGCAGAAAGTATGCATGGATTAACAAAGGATACGCTTAACAAGGTAGTGAATTGAGATATGATTACTAAAATGGCAGAGCAGTGTATTTTGTACCGATTCTTCGTAGGACAAGAACAGGTTGGTTATAATAAACAAGTAAATCCTAAATTAGTTTTCAATTAAATATATTTTTAATTCTTTTAATATTCCAGTTCAATTGTAATTAAAAGGCCTAATCAATAGAGAATGATTGCTTTTTTTCTACAAATGTTAATTGTTTTATCTATATTAGAAGTTTACAGATTAAATACTGAAAACCATTATTTTACATGGCAACATTCAAAACTCTATTGATGACAACCTGTCAATCATTGACTGTCAATGTCAAATTGCGAAAGGAAGTTTTGTTATTGTGGGATATTCTGTATTATTAATTAAAAAGTATTTTTGCGGATTAAAAGATTATAATAAAATGCCGTTGCCCCCTGCTTTAGCAGCCCGTCTTGCTAAAAGAGGCATTTTAAAAACTCCCATTGCAGATGTAGTCAATAACTCGGGTACAGCTCAAGTAAATGAAGAAATTATAGCTGAAGACTATGATAGCAAACCTGACGAACACAATGCTAAAGAACATTACTGGGAAGGTATCGAAGGCGTGAATGTAGATCCCATTAAAGGTCACCGCGGTTGTCCAAACAAAAGTAACATTTATCACGAATGTTCCAAATTTTGTGTGAAAACTTGGAAACAAGGTAAAAAGGTACCAAATGAGAAATATTTGGAAAATAAAAAGAAAGCTTTAGAACTGTGGCCTTTGCCTCCTGGATGGGAAGAAGTTTATGATGAGGGTAGTGGCCAACATTACTTTTGGAATGTTCACAATAATCTTGTGAGTTGGTTGCCTCCCGCTCACCCACAAGCAGTTCCTAGTGAGAGTGCTGCTCATCTAAGAGAAGAGAGGGTCTTGAAGGAAGGTGACGAGAGTGATGACAGTAGTGAAGCATCTGATCAAGAGGTACCACAGCAACAGGTCAAAGAAAAGAAGCATGAACGACGAGAAAAGAGTAGAGATATAGTTCATCACAGAGATAAGAAGAGGCAACGGGTTAGAGATAATGATTTAGATCCAATGGATCCTGCTTCTTACTCTGATATACCCAGGGGCAATTGGAACTCAGGGTTGGACTCTCATGCTAAAACGGGTGTGGATACTACAGCATCAGGGTCACTGTATCAAATGAGACCTTACCCTGCACCTGGGGCAATATTGGCAGCAAATGCTAAAAAGCACTCACCTCCACCATCTCCTTAGTCTATAAGTATTTTCATCAGTAAATATTCGTATTCTACTTCCTTGTTTTATAGTTTAAATAAACCTGTTACCTGTATTACCTACTCATTCATAAAATCGTAATAAAAATACATTTGACACTGTTGAGGAAGATAGTATTTTTGAGTGTCAGCATTTTCAACATTTTGGCTATTCTTTCATGAACAAATGGAATTTTACAGGTAATATTCAATCCAAATTGTATATGTAACAGTGTCTCAATTGATAGAGCAACACATCCTCATTACAAATTCTATTATAATGATATCTAACAGATTGTAAGTGTTCCTTGTGTAGTGAAACATTTAAGTCTTGTCTCGGTATCTGGCCGCATCTATTTAACAAGAAATCAAGATGGATTCAGATGAAAGAAATAATAAAGAACAAATAAATGTGTATACAATTTTATTTATAATAATCAGTTTCATGTCATAAATGCCTAAGATAAAACCTATAGATATGGTCCAAAAATTCCCCCTTAAATGTAAAACCATAATTTGTACAAATATTTACAAACAAACATTCAATTTGTCAAGGAAGTTATTAATTTGTGACCTTGTATTTCACTTATTTCTAAACATGCACATTTTTGTATACCAATAAAGATACAGTACATTAACAAGGGCTTATCAATACTGAATATAAATATTTTATAACATTTGAGCAGTTGCTATTGTATATTGCATGGCTGTTGCATTACGAGCTGAGGTTGAGGCTTTTGTCGGTGACAAGACGCAGCAGATCATCTGATGTCAGGATTCCGATAGGCTTCTTTGTGGTGGAAACTAAAAACATTGACATTATTAATTACTGCTGCAGAAATTAATCTTTTGTTATTTTAATTACTTATTAACATCTATAGAGGAAATATACACTACATGGCAGCCAGTCTCTAGATCTCCTTCGGGACACATTCTTTACAAACATCTTATGTCACAGATGTACTACTGCTAGCATAGTATTTAATTATTGAGTCAATATTTATTTACAATAATTTATTAAGTGCTTCTGTCATCGACATTTTATATAATTAACAAGATAATAAAAAAATGCAGTAAAATATTACCAGACTCGACAATGACGACGAAGGGTGCGATGTCCAGCATGCGCGAGACGCAGCCGAGCGCGGGCGCCTGCGTCACGTCCACTGAGTAGAATTTCTTCTGAGTGAACTTGCTCAGCTCGTCCGACACCTTGCCGTTCAGGTTGGTGAGCCGCCGGCGCGCGTAGTCCGCCGTCACAACGCCGATTAGCGCTCTGGAATAAATATAAATAATTTATTTTCCCATTCTTACCCGTATATTTATACAACTTGGGTAATGATTTGATGAATTGTAGAAAAAATAACAACTTGGGTAAAATCCGGCTGAAGGCATATCAAGGACTGTATTGCCGATACTATTATTGGTTACGCCAGGGACTCCGTTCGCGTGAAATTAAAAAAAACAAAAACAGGTATACCATGTGTTCTTTCCGGCTATTCAAAATTTCATCGAGATCCGTTCAGCCATTCAGGCGGCAAACTCAAACAAAAATCCATCCATCTAAACTTTCGCATTTAAAATTTTAGCAAGATTACAGTTATTGATGATAAGCAATTGAATGTGACTACAATATGACCTCTAATGACAACTTGGGTAGTCCGAAAATCTGATCAGGGCTGCCGTAGATTCGATACTCAGGCAACATCAAGATGTTTTGTTTGTTCTTCAACGGCGTTCTCGTCCTTGACATTTTAGAATGCCATAAAATAAATTTTTAGACATCAGTTAAATTCAGCTCATGATTCAAAGTAGCTTAGACAAAAGCCTTCATTATTTCTCATCGGTTCTTGTGGACCGATCAGTAAGAGGGTAATTACGTAAACGTACAAAACTAAAAAGAAAATCAATACAATCATTTCATTGTCAATCACATTTAGACAATGAAATTAATTATATTTTCTTACGATGATTTAATTTTTTACATTTTAGTCACTGAAAATTTGATATTGAATTATTGACAGTTGACATATACCATAGACAATAATATTTTATCTCAAATAAATCTAAAAAAATAGTCTGCGAAAAATTGGTGGTATTTAATTTTTTAAGGGGGGTAAATAATTTTCTCCGTTAATCATATATTATAAGGATTTTCCGCTGATTCTATTTTTTATTCTGTAGACAGTTGGTTTCTCGCAGATATTCGTTCAAGTTATTACTTTTCATATACGCAGTTATACAAAAAAAACAAAAAAAAATTCCACACTATCAGTGTTATTGCGATATTTCCATTTGGCTTACACAATAACACATAAAAGTAAAGTCGGAACGTAAATATTTCCATTGCAATGCAAGTGTATTGTACATTTCAATGGCGGAAAAAACAATAAAATGTAATTGTTTACCAACATTACCGACGAATGTCATACTTTGTCATCTATAAACATTGTTCAAAAAATATTTAACATAGCTTATCGTCTTGGGAATTCACATTTATATAATTAATAAGCCTGGTTTCAAACTTTTTGCATGCTGCAGATAGTGTGTGTGTCAAAGTGTCATTTTCTTTTTGTTTTATCTATGTTTTAGCTTTCGTCCGTGGCTCCGTCCTCGTGAAATTAAAAAAACAAAAGTGAGTAGCTTAAGTGTTGTTCCAGACTATTTACATCTATACCCAATGACATCCAAATCCGTTTAGCCATGTAGGCTACAAACTCTAATAAACATCCATCCATCGAAACCTTCGTATTTAGTAAGTGACTTACCCGTCATCGCCTACGACAGCGAGCGCGGGCGCGGCGGATGCCTTGAGCGCGGCGAGCGCTTGCCCCGTGGGCGTGTCGTGCGGGATCACAGTGATCGGTTCTATTAAGTTTTTCGTCACCACAGCGTTCCACCATCTATTGATAACACACAAATCACTACAGAATCGTAATTAATGCCTTCTAGTTACCAAATCCACTGATACGGACCCTTCACAATACGCCAATAGGGAATATGTATGTAATTTTTTATCGTTTCTACTTATTATAAGATAACCAGAAAAAAATGAAATAAAATCAACCAACCATTGAGTTACAAAAATAAAATAAAATCTCAATCATTTTCGTCCTACAAGAACGCACAGGAGTGTTGTGACGTCATCAAACAACAAGACATTTGATTGGTTCCCAGAGTGATGAAAAGTCAAAAAGTGATTAAACTCACGTATAATTTGCTTCGAACAATAGCGTTGCGTTTAAGAACTTATCTAAAACACTTTTAATGTGAACCGCGTATTAAATTTATGTTAAACCAACAGTTTTGAATGAAATTGGTAGCTTCCAAGATTAGCTACAAATACATTTTTTACCCCTGTTTTGATACGTTTTAGGAAACAACATTAACTTTTTCCTATTTTGAAGCATTTAAAAAGCACTAAATACTCATATCTGAATAATATTATTATCAAGTCTATTTACGAATTATTAATCTAAAGAAAATCTAAATAATAGATAAAAGCAGTCAAAGATCAACGTTAATGTGTTATAAATAATGTGTAAGATGAAACAATTTCGCGACATTTCAATAAAGGAGTCATGTTTTATTTTTTTTACAACTGATATCGCAATATGTCAATAGGTTATACACGTTCATATAACTTATTGAAGGTTCTTTTAGAAGCAATAAATCTAGATTACTATATTTTTATAGCACGTGATTATCAAAAGTTTTTACGAAACTTTCAAAATTCCTTTGAATGATTGTAAACGGAAGACAACTATTATAATTGGAAACATCCTTATAATGTCTTAATGAGAATTTAACGGTTACTTAAGCAGTCCTTAAGCAGACATTTCACGTATTAAATGTCCTGTCCCACAATTCTTGTAAATTGTCTGGTAGCAATCCAACGTATAAAATATGCGATGGAAGTCTCGGATTTTGATACTCTATCTGAGAGTGACGTCACTTTTAAGCTATCTGGGCCTTTATCAGCTAGTGGTGGGACAGGCCCTAAGTGTGCATAGTGGAGGCTAGGTGCATCAGCGTGTGTGTTGTATAACATACGGCAGTTCGTCGTGCTGGACGACTGGCTTGAAGTCGCGGGCCTCCATCCACTGGTCGGAGATGAACTTGGTCATGTAGTTGCGTATGTTGTCGGGCAGGATGACCACACACTTCTGACCTGCCTGTAGCGACTTAGCCGCCTGGGTCGCCGCCCACATTATAGCACCACTGCTGCCGCCTTTAATTATAACATACTGAGATAATCTTAAATATTTGCTTAAATATTTACTGGGCCGATTTCAAAAATATTACACCAATAAAAAGCTACGTTATCAGTGAGAAATATAGGCCTATATTTTCTTATTTAGAGCTATTTCAATACAAACAAAAATACAAATAACAAAATACAGACCTCTTTATAAAGTGAAAATTATATGACTAGCTTTCGCCCGCGACTTCGTCCGTGCGAAATTAAAAAAATAAATGTAAGTAGCCTATGTGTTCTTCCAGACTATCCTCTTCTAAGCCAAAATTCATCGAAATCCGTTCAGCCGTTTAGGCTACAAACATCCATCCATCCATCTAAACTTTTGCATTTATAATATTAGTATGATTTTAATATCGAAGTTACGCATTGTTCTATAAATAAACATTATTTCAGTTACAATTTTTCATTTTACTAGTCTCATTGTAAAACTTACCACAAAGAAGTCCCTCCTCCTTTATCAGCCGGCGGGACATGTTCAATGAATGTTTGTCTTCCGTCTTGATCCATTTGTCTATCACCTTCCTGTCCAACACCTTCGGTAAGAAGTCATAACCGATGCCTTCCACCTTTCAACAAAATATGGAATTAGAAAAAAACATTGGAAGTCGTAAACTCATTAGTCTCTGTGTAATTCAAAACTAAGAATAGTAATCATTTTTAAAACACAAGATACATGGAAAACTTTTCACATGTTGTGAATTTGCGATCGAAATTACTTTAAAAATCTATCACTACAATTTAGCTACAAAAACTGTTTTCTCTAATACTACTTACGGTAGTTATTTTATTTTAATACGTAGACGTTTATCTGAATTTTTTATACATAAAATAAGAAATAAGCGATAACTTTAGAAATCCGTGAATTACATTTCAAGATATAAACATTGATTGTCGTATCGTAATGTGTTTATCGAAACAGCGTCACACATCACGTAACATTTGTCATACGGTTATTTGTTAGTTATCAGACGGCGATAGAGGACGGGAATACGCAATTATTACGTATATTTAGTACGTGAAATACATAAAAGACGACCTCCACTGACATTAGACGCTTTACATCTGTTTACAATTCTTAGTCAATGCAAAATGTTTATCAAATTTAAAGCTACTCTGATTTAAACAGCTGATTCCACAATTATATGGGATAACTAGCTTTCATCCGCGACTCCGCCCGCATGGAATTAAAAAAAATGTAAATAGCCTATGAGTTCTTCCAGACTATCCTCTACATCTATATCAAATTTCATAGAAATCTGTTAAGCCGTTTAAGCTACAAACTCTAAAAAACATACATCCATCAATCTAAACTTTTATTTATAATATTAGTATGAAGTATGACAGCTAATAGAGAATATTCTCCTTGAATTTTCGCGTAAAATATTTTAATGTCCATGGACCCAGAACTAGGCGGGAATTTCTCTAATCGTCAACCTATCCTTGTCTTTATGGAGGGTCCGCATAGTAAGCACATCTTCTATACATTTCTATCAGACGTCATATCTGAATTCACTTTTTTCCTAAACAAATCTTTCACAGAATCCATCCATGCTTTCTTTGGTCTTCCTCTACCTTTACATCCATCCAAAATCCATCGTATCCTTATGCTTTGTATTATTTACATACGTAATATCATCGTTAATGATTCAATTTTCTAGGAAGTCTGTAAGTATAACATAAGTGCGCTAACCAAATAAGCAAATCGATGTCATTTTTATAAAATCACGATTATCAAATATAGAAAACTGATATAGAGGACCGTGACGTCATAACTTCCTTTATTTGGACGTTACGTTCCAGTTGCACGTTTTATCGTGATTCAAAATCAATTTTCGATACAAACGAAAGGAGAGGATTAAATTGATAGTGTAACGCTAATATATAAAAATTATTACGAAGGACATTACATAAGGCGATAAAAACCTCAATAAATGTTAACATTTGTGACCTAATTTAAACCGAATGAAACTGGTTGAAACAGTAATCTGACCAGGAAAATATCGCACAGCCATTAAATATCCGTATTAAAAGATTATTTTTTGTTATTCTAAATTGTAAACAATAAGATTTCCTAGTTCGATAGTTAGAAAAAAAAAATTTTAACTGCAAGGATTACAAGAATTCAGTGGCAACATAATTATTATTGTTCGAAATCAAAATTTCTCAGATATAAAAATTGGTCTCCTGGGTTTCTATTATGGTTTGGTTTGAATTTGAAATTCACTAAGTGGATGTTCAATTGGTCAAGTAAATAAACAGAGCCTTTCTAACTTATCAGGCATCAGGACAATCTATAATCAAAATATTTGCTAACATCGAATATAGAGAAAGTTTATTTAGTACTTATAAATGTGCACTGATGAGATTAAAGCAAATATTGATGTCTTAATTGTTTTCGAAAATAATTGTTTTCCACGTGAAAATATATACGTATATCTATTTAATTAGTGATGTTTCATTTCATGTAAAAAAATATACAAACAAATTAAGTACCTCCTTTTTTTGGAACGTCGGTCAAGAATTATATGAAGGTTCTGGTGTACAGAGTTACATCTCTTATTAGAAACTGATAAAATATATCGTAGGATGGGTCAAAATATGTACTGTTAGACTTACTTCATACATGCCGACATCACTATCGTTGAGTTCTTCTGGCTCAGCAAGTATGGAGCCCAGGGGGTCAACACCGACTATCACACACTTGGGGCATCGCTCTTTAATCTTGTGTCCGATGCCAGACACGGTGCCGCACGTGCCAGCTCCGATCACTACCATGTCAACGTCATCGTCCAGTGACCAGAGGATCTCCTCGGCTGTACCATCGTAATGAGCCAGCGGGTTGCAAACGTTCGTGTACTGTTGAGAAATTGATTTTAAATAAAATATCAGCCAGGAATAAACACTGCCTATATACGAAAAACATTCTTCTATTAATAAATTTCCCAAATAGCCTTCTGGTAATCGTCTAATAATAGGGAACTAAAATAAATGCAATAAAAATTGTCCTTGATATAAATAAACAACGCGATATTGTAAAGTAATCGTTTGGTCACAGGGTCATCGCTATGAGTTGCTTGTTATTAATAAAAAAAAACAGTAGGTAGAATTTAACATTGAAATTCTTGGTTACTGTACAAATAGGTTAAACTCTATTTCTGTTACACGAACGAATGTTCCCTATTATTGGATTTCGTATATTTTGTTAACACATTTTATAACTGCATCATTTGTTCGTGTTTCCAAGTAGAGATCTCGCGAACATTCTAGAAATATCCAGCGGAAATACCGATCGAAATACGCATGACGAAATATGCAGGAAAAGTTAACAAAACACAACAACGTACGTAGGTTCGAACATTACAGTCAATCATAGTGATTATTGCATTATACTTTATATGCTGAGTTATGTCAAGTAGTAAACAATAGTTTGCTAATAAGCAAATGTATGAAATCATAAAATCTCTTGAGATTTACAACAATGTAATAATAGATCACCGGATGTTATAGATTCATTAAAATGCGTGAAGGCTAAACGATCGTGTACCAAGAATGTCTATGGGATTGTATTGCACAATTGTATAAATAAATAATTTATGCGTGCATAATAACATTACACTCTTATAGAATGCAACCTCCGCAAATAACAGACTTGTATATAAAATGAGCAAGTTCTTGTATACTTATTGGTTTCCTTCATTATATGTAAACTTTGAACAGTACATGCCTCAGTGACTATATTAGACTAAGGTCATGTTATTGTGGTTGAGTTGTTATAGAATCTGGTATAGACCAGCTGTTCCTCGCGACATCGTTCGCGCGAAATTAAAAATATAATAAAAAACATAGCCTATTTTACTCAATGATAACATAGCTTTGTAATGGTAAAAAAATTTTTAAAATCAGCTTATGTTTTGAGTTATTTACATACGAAAATACAAATCTTTCCTCTTTATAATATTAGTATAAGTGTAAAGATAAATAACAAGATTTGCTTGTTTTTTTAAAGAAAAAAATTAGCTGATAGTTATTGACCTAAATATAATGCATGTTTATGTACAGATAATAATGTTTTGCACTCTTCAACAATAATATACAAAAATATGAACATTATTTTCAGTGTTGGTACTATTACTATGGTAGTTACTATGTTTTTCTACATTGATAAAAAGGTCTTCATTGATTTTATTTAATAACTTTTATCAGACACTTCATATTATGATAGAAAGATTGTGAATATTGGCTTCTGACTTGCTTTATCATAATTAAAAAAAATATATAAATGCACATATACATATTGCAACACTGATAATAAGATTTCAGTTTCTGGGTAATTAGTGATATTTAATACTGAGTTTAACAAGAAGATAAACTAATAAGTTTTGTTTTAATTCATAAACATTTAATGATAACCTTTAGATATTTTCAAAACATGCTTAATGAATAAATATTTTAAATCTAAGCTAACATTTCTTAAAAAAAAACAAAATTAAAACATACCTGATCCAGCATAACAGCATTTGGTATTTCCTTGGCAAGCCGTTTAGCAACCATAAGATTGCTGTCAGGGTCATGGGAGGCCGCTTCAGTGGGAGTCCTGATGATCTCCGCTCCCAATGCTAACAGGGTGTTTACTTTCTCATCTGACATTTTCTCTGGCAGCACAATGATACATCTGTACCCTGTTGTTTAAAAAAAATAAAACTTTTTATCACAGATTCAATTTAGCTAAAAAAAAATTGCAACACTTTATTTTTAGCCATAATAATTTTGAAATTTTTTAGTTGTTTCAAATAATAACAGTACTCAAAATGTGTAATTCAGAAAAAATATTAACCTTTAACTGCTGCAGCTAATGCTAAACCTATGCCAGTGTTTCCAGATGTGGGCTCAATGATCACAGACTTTCCTGGTACCAATATACATTTCTCCTCAGCGTCCAGTACCATTCTATAGGCAATTCGGTCCTTTATTGAACCACCAGGGTTCAAATATTCACATTTCGCATCTAAAAATAATAAAAACATCTTAGGAAGAGAAACTTTACTATTTAAAAGAAACATATTTTATACATATTTTGTAACTTACACATGTCACATGATAATCCATCTTTTTTTGGTATGTTATTTAATTTCACTAAAGGCGTGTTGCCGATTACGTGGAGGATGTCGGGTTCTAATTTTTGATTTCTGTCCCTAAAATATAATTTTTTGTTTTTTAAAATTACATTTATGAGTGTAAATACATATAAAAAAAAGATTTATACTTACAATGCTTTAATAATGTGAGGCATATCCTTGAGATCAAAATATTTTTGATACCCATTAGTAGTCCCGTTGTGCATTTTTACGCGGTAATTTTTATTATGAATGAAAGATTTGAATTTTCTGAACCTAAAAGATGTAAACAATTTTTTTTAATATAATTTACGATAAATTCTCTACAAATAAAGGGATATAATCTAAGGTCTAAACTTCTAAACTACATAAAAACTTACGGAGATCGCACGTTAATAGCACGTCAGCTATGGAAGTACAGTAAAATATTACTTTACTAACGTACGACTTTATTACTCGACGTCTTATCACGGACTGATTATATGTAAAGTTATTGTTCACGCCAATCTTACAGTATAAATTACATTACACAGTGTTACACAGCGTGCAAGTTCACAAAAGTAAGGTTAAGTTTATGTCAAATCAAATCTCAAAACAGATGGTTTCTTATTTCACAGATTGTTATATTTGCACTATCTGTGGCATTAGAAATAAAGTGTGTTCAAGTCATTTTTTAATGACTTAGATTGTGTTATTCGTTAGTTTACAATCTTACTAGCAATGTTGCGTGTGAATGATATTGCAATTAAGACTGCGTTTTTACTTTACTTAAAATTTGAAAACTACATTTTAAAACTAAAAAAACGTTTGAATATTATCCTTTATAATAAAAAAAAGTTTTTGATTTGTAGTTACGATCAGAGAGATTACCAGAAAGCAGCTATCAAAATTACACCACTTTTACCTTTTAACATTATCTAGATATCATTAGGCGCGCCGTGATTATGATTTGATTACCAAACACTATTACTACGCCATCAACAGACACATCGATATAGTTTTTGTATAAATTTTAAATGACTACTTATCTGTTAGTTCAGCTGTTTGTGAGCTTAGCTAGTTTTAATTCAATAGGAACTGTCGCCCGCAAACCGTTAAAGCAGAACATTTCCGTGTGCATCTACCTTTTAACAGCTACATTCTAGTCAATGTTCAGTCCAAATCGGTCCACTCGTTCTAGAGTTAGGTAGGTCGCTATTTTGACAGCGCGAAATTAAATAAAACGTAGTCCATGACATATCATACTGGAGGGTATCTGACATAGACGGGCATACCCGTCAAAGTCACGTAAAAATCAGCCCAGCCGTTTCGGAGATTAACCGGAACAAACGTGGCTTTCGGCCCGACAGACAGACAGACAGACAATTTTAAATACGATTTTCTTTATCAGCAACGCGAATACTTCATCTTTTCGATATCCGGAATTTTTTTTTTGGATATTAAAAACCGACACTCCAATGTTATTATATATGTGTAGATAGAGAATATTCTTCTTTCCGTAATCCACAGCTGAACGAAATACGAGGACACGGTGCAGGTGCCAGGTCGAGTGCCATCCACGCTCACGACCTCATCCAACTAAAATTACCAATAAGTACTTACTTCATATTAGTACTTTAACTGTAACTATAAAGCTATCTTAGATCGTTGGTACTAGTTCTCAGTCTAAAGGCTTTTCCTAACTTTTTTCCAAAAACGAACTATATCTTTATTTTGTTAAATTTATTATTTGGGATTTAATAATAACTTAAGCAACTCTAAAATTGGATCGCAAAACTGTGTTTGATATGGATTATAATATCTTTTGATTTGCGACTTAAGTAATTGCGATAAGATTTGTGCGATCAAGGATTATTTTGAGGAAAATCACTGTCACACTTCTTGCACGAATGCAATGTGTGTTCACTCTGATGTCCAAATTCTTAAATCGGCAAGTATTTTGGGAAGGAACTAGGTATTTAAGTTATCTTACCCTTTAACAAAAAATATTTAAGTTTCAGTAGATATGATATTAACGATTAAACTTAAACTTTAAGTTCTTATTAAGAAATTAAATAAATGTAATTTATGCGGTACTTGGTCTTCAACTTTTTAATGCTTTTTGTTAATGCTTTTACAATATGGTAGTTAATATAATATTTCATTTCAATATAACGGGAAATTTCACACATGCATTAAATTAGAATATTAGGGTCGTGGTATTCTTACTATGTTTTTTTTTTACTTCAGTATTGTATATATACAACATCTCGATAAACAGTAACCAAATAGAATAAAACACAATTTACAAAAAGTATTTTTAGTAATCACATACGTAAATGAGTTAATTTTGTTCTTTTATTTGTTTGGAATTAAACAATTAATAATTCTTAAATACATATAATTAATAAAAGTAACACTTATGAGTATAACGAAGTAACAAATTTACAACAGATTTCTATAAATAATAAAGAAGCTATATACAACAACACTATGATTTGAAAGTCCAACAAATGTAAAATTATTAAACTGAAGACCTGAAGATTAAATATTTTTAATTACATTAACTCCTATGATTTTAAGAATATAACAAAATAAGTAAGTACATTATGTAAAAATATATTTGCACTCAATTTTCACTTATAAATAAAACATCGACTACCTCGATATCGCAAAAGGTTAATGTTTCTTCAATGCAAGGGTCTCCATTGTTATAATTTTTGTGTAACAACAATATTACCATCTGTATCATGCTTTTAGAAGAAAACAGCGATAACACTAGTTTCAGTACAAGTGTTTCGAAGATTAAAATTCACCGTAATGTCCAATTTGTCCAATTTATAATCTGTACACTTCACATACACTTTATTTTAATTAAACTCTCGATTCATTGGCATAATTATCATACAGCCAGTCCCAAAACTTAACTCTTTTTGCTTCAGGATCTGTTAGCAAGGTGAAGTTTCCATTTATATTAAGATAATTCATGCGTTCCGTCTCGTTCACGGGCAGCCATTTAAAGTCTACGATGGATTCGTAATCCACCGGTGGGGTAGGGTTTCTGGAATTAAAAAAAAAAACTATTTTATTTAATTACCACTAATTGACTACGGAAAAGTGAAGATGATATACACTAATTACTATTTCTATTTTCGTAATTATCTATAGACATGTATTGGTATAGTTCCAATCATTGAAGATAATCTTAGATACTAAATCACTGTACTTTAGATAGACTAAAAATATTAAAATAGCACGGAAAATGATGATGATCACTGATTTATTAACAATCATATGTTTTGTCATTATCATTCGAAGAAGACAGCAGAAAAAATTCAGTGTGTAAAATGGTCAGTATTTTAAAAAATACGACATATTGTACTTCATTTATTAATATTTTTAAAACTGTCTCGCTCGTGGAAACCAACGTTTACGTTTTCAAATAGTTTAAATGCATAACCCCACACCTTGCGGTAATTCTATTACATTCGTAGGCATCACGCCTTCACACATATACTAAACGTTGGTTTCTTAATTTGAATTTATATACAGCGTAATTCATGAAAACATCACGGTTATAACAGTAACTGTAAGCCCTACCAAAGGTTCAATTCAGGGCAACACAATTAGGTTACTTTTAGTCAACATACCCGGTCTTTGCAAAGTTCGTCCACATCTGCACCATCTTCCTTGAAACTGCAAGTTCAGTCGATTCATCATCCAATCTGTAATTAAGTCTGGAGAAATAGAAGAGGTATCCCATTTCGTCTCCGTGGCAGGCGCCAGGGTGGGAGATGCCGAGCATTCGCTTGAATAGACCGAGCGCGCCGTCGAATGCAAACCGATATAAATATGTGGGGCTCGTCCTGTTGGTGGCCGCTTGAAGACGGATCGTTTGTAGTACTGGCCTCAAAAACATCACGTCCGTGAATAACTACAAATACAAGATATATTTCCGTTAATTTTGTAATTAAGTAATTGCCAATTTCGATAGCTGAACTTAATTGGTAGAGGGATTTGGTCAAGGATATTTATCGTAGAATAAACGACCCTGAGACCTGTGATATTTATCTTAAATTTGAGACATCTTATCTCTCAGGGAAATCCCGCACGATAACATTATTATAAACATCAGATTTAGCCATACGTCATGCACATCGATTGTGATTGTTTCCGAAGCGTTAGTTCCTTTATTTCCTAAAGATTTCATCTAATAGAAGGTACTTATTTGTTTCAAACGATAATTACCTAAGACATTTTCCCTCATGTTCTAAGCTTATATTAGAGTTAATTTTTTTATATGTCATTGAATGAATTAAAAATAATAACAATGCACATACGTCAATGAGACTATTGATATTCCGCGTATCGACTGGACGTTGCTGGAAGTAGAAAGCTTTGATGTGTTCCGCCACCTTGTCTGTTCGCTTTTCATCCGAGGAGATCAGCTCGGGCGGCACCACGCGTCGGAACTCATGTTCCAACTCACTCAGTAACTTCGGATAGCGTTGAAGACCTGGAAATTATTACAAATAAGTTAATATAAGTAAGGTTGGTTAAAAGGAAGCATCTGTTGTTTGAATGGGCAGTCCCAGGGTTTTATAAAACAGATATATAGTCGAGAAGTACCACTTTATCCCAAACGTTCTTTCCAAAGACGACAACGATGCAAATTAAATGTCGAGTTTAATTTTGCTTGCATTAATCTCGTAAATTAGTAATTTGATAGGAATACTTAAAATGTAGTTATATGTATCTAAATTAAAGAAAGTCAAAAATGCAATTTTTGTGATAATCAAACCTAGTTACATGAAAATTCACTTATAATACGACATAATTTAGTCGTGCATAAAAAATGATTTCATAGTATTTGTTTAATTGACAAAATTACTTATCTCTTTGACCTTAGAGATAAAACGATGCAGGCGACGACAATAACACAAAACGATAAAAAGATACGATCTGAAATCAATACGATAGAATTCATAGAATTAATAAAATTAGCTAACATGCACTTATTTTTCTTCAAAGAATGTTCTTTTACATAAGGTAAATGTACCGGTAATTGACAGTTTAGTGTAAATAAAGAGCAACCTTCTTTTTCACTTACTCTTGTGCTTCTATATGTAGATTTCAAGATGAAGTAAGAATTAGGGGTAATATAACCCGAGGGTAACAACTAGTACGAGTCGGTCAACTAATCACAGACAGCTTTATGGCATAACGGTTTTAAATTATACATGCTGATACATTACAGCATTCGGCGAGTTTCGTTACAGTGAAAGTGGCTCGAAGTTGTCACTAAAATTTTGGGTATTGTTATGTAAAATCGGAGCAATTATGTCATTTCTGTGTTATAGCCGATTTCAAGACGCATTCTAGATCTGTATGTGTTGTAACAATATACGACTTAAATTGTATCTACGTCTTTAAGCAATATTATAATTTAACTAACTGGCGTCAGGCCTCCACCAGCAAATGCGTTTTTTTATCTTTTTTTTTATTTATAGAAAAGAGAGAATATCGAAAATATACAAAAAACCTAGAAAAAGATGCATGGATTGCGTGAAAGGTGACATGATGAAGAAGGGAGGGATGACTGAGATGACATATGATAGAGTTATGTGGAGGACAAAAACCTGTTGCGCCGACCCTACGGGAGTACGGTAAGGATGAAGATGATGATTGAAAATGTACAAAAAAACACATTATCATCAGATGATAATATGTTTTGTGTGTCAGTGATGATATTGTGTTTTTGTGTATCATCGGATGATATCGTGTATCATTTTATGGTATCACTTTTTTTGTATCATCTGTTGATAATGTTTCTTGGTACAGCTATCTGTGCCAGTATTTTAGTTAGTGGAAAATCAGGATCTGATTGATAGATAAAATGTCTGCATAACAAAATGCCAACAAAGTGATACATCCGGTAAGATTGACAAGGCCACACTATCGGCCTTGTAGATCAAGCGGAAGTTATACTATTTCACGTAGGTATATTGTTATTGATAATTTTCATAGCACTACGATAAGCTTTTTATGAAGAAAACAAATATCAATTTAAGTGTTTATATCTAACCTTATCTTTTGATGATTTAGATTTTGTTTGATACAATTTTATATGTATAGATCCTGAATATAATATGACATACTGAATTTTTGATGTGATTGATTGACTGCGAATCTGTTTCTCGGACAAGTACAAAACAGTGTCCGTCCCTAGCTTGAATTACGGCTACCTTAAGGTAGAATGAAAAAGAAAGATTTCCTTGTGATTGTTAAAACGCAGAAATTGATACAAATCGATCTACGATTTGGAATCCGTTTTAACTTCTCGATATGCATAAAATATAGAGGTTTACTTGATTATTTGCGTATTTTCGCAACAATAACAAACGAAATCAAAACCGTGACCTACAAAATGATTTAAAACAAACACTTAAAATCAATAAGATCATGGTTAAGTTTCTGACCTAAATGACCTGTCTGATCCTGGTTAGTCCGGTTGTCTTAATTTCGCTGACACGGATATATTTATGACATAAAGTGGACCGCTTTTAGTTTCACTGCCGCATTACATAACGTAACATACCGAGAGCTTTGTGTCTGTTAGTAAACAAAACGTTACAAGTTTGGCAACATGTGGATTCAACAAAGTAGAAATTGCTGCTAAACGTTAAGCTAAACTACAACGGTCTGATTATTATGTGACAATAGTTCACAAATTTTAGTTCTTACGTAAAATTTTCGAAATAACATATTTCAAACGATATTTCGGTAAGCGGTTTGAAGACTTTATAATAACTACGTTTTACGTTACTTTACGCTTATGGCTATGGAGAAGAATTATAAGAATATTCCGAGTTTAACGCCTAATGTCACTAGTTAAAGCATACTATACAATCATAATGTACAAGGCGGTCTTTGGATTAGATTTGATAGATTAGGTCCATCTTAGCCGAATAGTTACTTCCTTACTCGAAATCAAAACTGCTTTACATTATGACAACTAAGAAACCACAATAACAAGCGCAGTTATAATAAAATCGTTTTACCATTAGAATATTTTAAAAAACGCTAAAATTACATTCAGTGCAGTGAATGTCTAGAAACCAAGGCAACGGATTTTGTTGACAAAGTTGTGTAATGCCGTGAAGGATTTCCGTCCTGGTTGCGACTGCAGTCATAGTTCGGAAAATTACAAACCGCACCTCGATGCTAAGTGCACATTTCCATATAACTAATTACGTTCCTCGTCACATGAATAATTTTAATCTTATGTACATTTGCTGTAACTCAAAGTATTTAAGGTTGTAGCGAAAAATGTTGCTTAGTGATAAGCTAAAAATTCATAAATGTAATTCGTAATAAAGAGTATCAATGCTATGTAGCCTCAAGGTTTTGCAAATATAAAGTAGAAATTACAATGCTGATTGTTATTGTTAAGTCGTTAAGTTTGCATTAGAATATGTAAGGCCAACATTATTACAAATGACATCAACGCTTACTTCTAAACGTTAATCGCATTGATGTTCGATGCCTTTCAAAGAAATAACTGAAAATAAATTCTAAGTAAAATGTTGTTGAAATTCATCAGTAGTTCGCAATACACTATTACGACATCGTACAGGACCTCAAAATATGTACAAACATTACGAAAGTATTCATTAGGTTAGATCAAGTGTGACCTCAAACATTTAATGTAGCAAATCTATGAGAACTTTTAGAATGTATCGCTTCACCTCGAATTACGTAAATCGATCAAAGAATTTTACTTTAAAACTTAGTTGTTTTAAAACTTCTGTTTACTTATAAATCTAAGTCAACTTGTAGCACAGATTTGTACATAATTTATTTAAATTTTACCGCAATAAAATCCAGTTAATAATTATTTCTAGCGCTTATTTTAATTATCTAAAATACTATTTATCGATAGTTATTATGTGTACCGTTTCAAGTACTTTAAGTAGTACGTTCTAACTTGACAACGAGGCAAGCAACTATCACAATATAGCCTAACAAATTGCAAACCGTGAGAAGGAAAATGTTGAAAAGATACCATTTTTAACCTTGTCTTTTGTTAAGTTTAGTTTCATTTTGACAAGTGAATATAAAAATAGAGCGACAACATGAAATTCGTAACAAAATATACTGAATAGCAAAGCCCATAAGTGATGAAAGATTCCTTACAAATATGTTGAATACTCACGTCTAAATAGTATAATTCCCTCCTGAGCGTTGTACCCTGTGAGGAGCGGTACATCAGATCCTGGTAAGGATTCCCTGGGATTGGTGGTGAGGAAGGCGTCGGGGCCCTCGGGCTCGAGTACTGGCAAGAAGGGCAGCGCCACGGTGCTCTGCAGGTCGGCAGTCTTGCCCGGCGCCCCCGCGATCCGCGCGCCAGCCTTCACTAGTAACTCACTGGGCGTTGCTCGCAGGTAACCTATATGTTAAACATTTTTAAAATTTGGTTACAAAATATTGTTATTGGAGAGTATAACTTGATTTATTAAATTAATTTTGTTTGTTTTAATTTTTTAGTTTTACTAGATTCATATTCTGGTTTTACGTATTTGAAGGTGTGTCTTTAATCAAAATATTTCTTTGCACTTTGACCTTAGATTGTATGTAAAACTAGCTTTCGCCAGCGTCTCCTTCCGTGTAAATGAAAAAAAAAAACAAAAGCGAGTAGCCTATGTGTTCTTCCAGATTATCCTTTACGGCTATGCTAAATTTCAGCCGTTTACAATTTTTAACAAACATTCATCCATCCAACTAAACTTTCGCATTTATAAAATTAAAAGGACAGTATATTTATTAACGCTGGGCTAATATGATAAGTATAATGAAATCATTAAATTAAGTAATGCTTTATTTCGATGTTGTGTTATTTCAGTGTTATATAATCAAACATGAGAATGACGTCTTTTACACGAAAATCATGTTGTAATCATGAATCATTGTAAATCGCAGAGATTGGCATATTTAATGACGAATATTTGATGATCTGTATATAATTTTGTTTGGCAATCGCAAACATACATACATGTCCTTGAAAATAATTACCAAGAATTTACATAACAAATGTTCCTTGAATCGAAATACATAACAACTTCAATTATTTCTTTATCTTTATTTTTTATGTTTTCCTTAGATCGTATTAAAATCCATTAGTAGTGGAGATGTACATACCTCAGTAAAAAGCTAGAGCCTTGAGTTTTTCAATAGCAATAAAGTTTTTTTTGTCAATTATTGAAGGTGTTTCAGGTATTTTATTGGAAAATATGATACACGTAAAAGAACATACCGAGAAGCTCCGCAGTACTGTTGGTCTCAATCCCGAGTTCTCTGCCCAAATCGAAGGCTTTCTCGCGCGGGTTCTTCCCCAGCGCCCACGGAGACAGCGCCAGCCCGCTCTGCGCTATCACTCGGTGGAATAGACCCTGCGTATATTTAAATGACTACTGGTTACGTCATTCATGTAAGAATGTTTGTCTATTGTTATAGCTCTTGTAATTTACCAAAAAGCAACATTTACCAAAAAGGAGCAAGGATATATAATAAGTTATTTCACGAACTTCATGACTTATTTTAAACTAGCTTTCGCCCGAGATTTCGTCCGCGTGGCATTAAAAAAAAGTAAGTATGTGTTCTTCCAGGCTAACTATCCTCTACTTCAGTATCAAATTCCATCGAGATCCTTTTAGCAGTTTAGGATACAAACTCTAACAAACATCTATACATCTAAACTTTCGAATTTATGTTAGTATTTGATTATTAATATTGAAAACAATAGTGTGGCAGGCAAGAATTGTCATAATAGTTTAATAACAATTGATTTGAAAACTATATGAAATTACCTCCATTAGTATACATCCGTATAGTTTATTTGCGGAAGGAAATATACTTAATGTGAAAGGATGTCTGATTACTACCATACTTCTACCGACAGTAATGGCCGTACGTAAGTCAACGTACTGTGGTCTCATTAAAATCTTTGTGCAATCTCGTTAAAACTATCCGCCGTATCTCGTGATATAAAAATATTGCTCCCGTTACTCTTTGTTTTTAGTAATTGTGGTAAATAATACCTGTGAAGCGGGCGACAGCATATGTAGATGTACAGACACGGCACCAGCGGATTCGCCGAAGATTGTAACTCTGGCCGGGTCCCCGCCAAAGTACTCAATGTTGTCTCTTACCCACTTCAAAGCCATAAGTTGATCCTAGAAAAATGTTTTTACTGTCACTAACTGTAGTTAACATATAGTTAATTTTCCATTTTGGACGACTTTATATATGTTTAAAAATTTAAGGGTCGTAGTACTTTGTAAGAGCGCAAACGAATCAAAATATTTACGTATAACATTTTATACAAAAATAGAGATTAAAAAGAACGCAACCCAACATCATTTGTGAGACGATGAACTTGTTATTCAGATAAAGAATGTTGACTCGTTAGTAATGCACTTGACCGATATAACTAAGCCATGACCAACAATGTTGCCAAATTTATACACTAATTGTTAACTTCTCGTACTTTATTTTGCAACTTGTCAATTACGTTGCGTTAAATAAGGCAGCATTATACTTATTACATATAATAAAAGTTAAGTAAATGTCTCTACGTGTGTTCAGTCAAGAAGGTTGGTATGAAGTCACTGTGTTAACCTTTTTATAACTTCATACTAACTACTATAACTTAATAACATAGAAGTGTTTGTGTACTGAAGTGTAACATTTGTGTAACTGTAACATTGTAAATAAGGCCTTGGTATCTGTCCTAACTCTTTTTCTAAATCTTTTCTAACATAAAATGTCTGTCAAAATAACCAAAACTTTGAATACTAACTATAACATTAAGGATTATGACTTAGTTACCTTTAATCCCATATTTCCCGGCACCTCATCATTCTCGAGACTCAAGAAGCCGAGTGCTCCGAGCCTGTAGTTAAGAGTAACAAGTACCACTCCAGCCCCAACCAAATGGTCAGGCCCGTAGAGGAATGCGTTCCCGGATCCAACTGCAAACGCGCCGCCGTGGATCCAAACCATAACCGCCAGTTTTGGGTTATACCTGCAACAGAAAAACTGTTTTAACCATATTGCCTCAGGAAAATCCACTTAGTTTGAATTGAAGCAATCTATTACGTGGTAATAAATGTTAATCACAGATTAATGTTATGAATAAATTGTATGTCAAGTTCATGATGTTCAAGTTTTATGCATATTATGAAATTTATATAACATGTCATAACGGCAGATAATTATGGGTCGAAGGCCAATCATCAACATCATAAATAAACATGAATTTCATAAACAAATTAAGCAAGTGTATCCAATAATCTACTTACCCCGTTAGCTTGTCAGGCAGTGCGGAGGTGTAAACGTTTAGGAATAGACAGTC